TTTTTTTTTTTTTTTTTTGTTTTTCAAGATAGAGTTTCTCTGTTTAGCCTTGGCTGTCCTGGACTCTCTTTGTAGACCAGGCTGGCTTTGGACTCACAGAGATCCACCTGCCTCTGCCTCCCTGAGTGCTGGGATTACAGGTGTGTGTCACCACACCCGGCTTAATCTATGTATTTAAAAAGTCTGCCTCTCTCGATTTTTGTGTGTGTGTTTATGAGTATTTTGACTGCATGCACGTCTGTGCACCGCTTTTGTTCTTGGTGCTCACAGGAGCCAGAAGAAGGTAACTGAGTCTCTGGGACTGGAGTTCCAGGTGAGCCACTGCATAGGTGCTGGGACTCAAACCCTGGTCCAGCAACCAATGCTCTTAACCACTGAGCCATCTCCCCATCTGCTAGGAAAACATCTTCATTAAAACAAAACAAAACAAAACAACAACAACAAAAAACTGGCTTCACCTGGATCTATCTGGTTCCCATGCAACAGCCTAGGTTCTCTGTTGCTATCCCTGGCGGTTTGGAGAGTGCTGGTTCTCTGTGGGTCCTACTGGAGAACTCTGGTTCCAAATGCATAGCTGCATTTCTCCCTGCTGTACTTTGCCCTCCAATACTCACAACATGGCTGTCTGCACCAATGTCATAACCCTTAACGATCTCACGGAAGAGATTTCGTTGTCATTCCTGCAGACCATAAGCCCCATGTAGCTCAGGCGGTCCCTGATGTTTAAAGCAGAACGCGAGCCTTATAAGTGAGGTTTTGATAGGGGAATAGGAGTTTCCTGGGAGCAGAAGGAGGACAAAGGGTGGCAAGTAGGGAGGAGCAGTGTGTCCACCACAGTGGTTGGAGCCTGGGGTTTGCTTGCAGTGAGCGTTGGGGGGACTAAGAGGGGACTGTGGGGGCCTCTCGGAGTGTGTGAGAGTTGATATGTGGAAGGGTCTTGCACAGGGGCTGGAATTTGGGGTTGATGTGGCAGGTGGTTAGGGATCTCTAGAAGTGTCACTAGTGCTCTGGTTAGATTTTTTTTTTTTTCAACTTGACACAAGCCAGGGTCATCTGAGAAGACGAAACTTCAGTTGAGAGTTGGCCTGTAGGCAGGTCTGTGGGGCATTTTCTTGATTAATGATCGATGTGGGAGAGTTTGGCTGACCCCTGGGCAGGTGGTCCTGGGTTATAAGAAAGCGTGCTGAGTAAGCCATGGGAGCAAGCCAGCAAGCAGCGTTCCTCTGCGGCCTCTACGTCAGTTCCCGCCTCCAAGTTCCCAGCTCTCCCGATAGACTATAACCTGTAAGCCAAACAAGCCTTCTCCAAGGTGCTTTTGGTCATGGTGTCATTACAGCAATAGAAGACCTGAACAGGACAAGACACTGGGATGCTCTGAGACAGAGGCCAAGCACGGGATGTCTCTGTGCCAGCCATAGTAGGGACGCTGCGACTCCCCCACAGCCCAAGTGGGTGTGTGAGCACACCCTCCCTGAGCTGCGACACGGGTGACATGTCTCTGTTTCCTGTTTCTCCCCCATCCAGAGCAGTTTCCGGCTCCAGCTTCAAAAGAACAAACACTCAAAACAGAGGAAGTGGTCCACCACTGCAGGAAGCAGGAAGCTGTAGCTGCTGAGTCCAAGGCAGAAGCCCAGGGACAGAGGGATGGAGTCTGTAGCCCTGTACAGCTTTCACGCCACCGAGAGTGACGAGCTGGCCTTCAACAAGGGGGACACGCTCAAGGTACAGGGGGCTGGGGCAAGGCTGAGTGTGCCAACAGGGGTGGCAAGGTTGGAACCAGGACCCAGGAGAGTCCTGGTAGTCTAGGCTGTGAGGGACAGGCTCAGTTTAGCCATCTTTGCTCTCCTCAGTTTCCCCATCTAGGAAATGGGAATAGTATTTATTAGTCACTGGGAGAGTTTGAGATAGTTGCCACAGTACCTGATAGGGGTTGCTTCAATACCACAGTTTTCTGGTTTGTTTGTTTTGTTTTTTTAAAGAAGTTTAAAAGACAAGTTTTGAGATGAGTAATAGAATGGGGGAGAGAGAGAATGTGTGTGTGTGAGAGAAGTGAGAATAAGCAGACACCCTAACCTAACTGGGCTAAAATAGCTGGCATTTAAGTGTCCAGCATTAATGAGGGGAAAGTGGAAATAGAATGATATGCTGAATCGAAATGGTGGATAGGTGTGTGTGTGTGTGTGTGTGTGTGTGTGTGTGTGTGTGTGTGTGTGAAATCTCTACTGGGAATGCCCTTACTGAGGGTTTGTGCACCACAGGAGAGCCCAGGGGCCACTGTCAAGGTTTGGGGAGTGGCCATGCTGGATCATGGGCACTGGAATGCTAACAGCCTGTCCTGTGCCCTCCACAGCCCTCCCGGTGACCCACCGGAGCCACAGGCACAGGGCTAGGTGGCTTCCACACTGAGTCCCAGCCCCACAGTTCAAGCACGGAGACAGACTCTTTGAAGCCACCCTGTTCATGGGTCCCGGGCTCAGTTCGGAGTTCTTGGGTGTGGAAGGCCGTATGAGCGAGGCTTGGGGAGGTGATTGTATGTGTGTAGTTTAGCATGAACCAACCTCTTTTGCTTTAAAGTCTCAGGCTTTTCTTTGTTCAGTTCCCCTGGGTGTCTAAAGCTCTAGCTGGAGTTCAAAGGCTAGTATGGGTCTAAAGCAGCCCCATGCTTTGTGCGTCCCTTTCTTCCAGCTAGGGTGCTGGCACCTGTATTTACCTAAGCTGTTGGCCCTGGGTCCCATGCCACTCAACCACTTTGGCCTGAGAAGGGCCTAGGGTGGGAGACTCCGTGGGGAATCTAAGCTTAGCTCAGAGCCCTCAGCTGCTCTGGAGACCGCCCTGGGGTATATTCTCACACACATTTGAGGCTGGAGGGTAGTTGGAACGTCCAGGCTCAGAGGAACCAGCGAGGTCCCTGGGGTAACTGATGTCAAGAGTGACAGCCTCCTCCTTCGCAGACTCCCAAGACAAGCAGGGGGAGCTTTGCTGAGAGTCTACTGAGGAAGGTGAGGGAGTCCATCTACCCGTCAGAAGCCCACAAGAACGGGGACATGGAAGTGCAAGGCAGGAACAGTTTGCACAGTCGGCTTTCGGTGTGTGTGGGGGTGTGTATGGAAGGAAAGCACAAGAGGCTCATGTCAAGACCAGGGAGCCACGGGGAGGTGGCGGATGTGAAAGAGACCGGGGAAGCTGGAGCACCCAGCCCAGAAACAGCTTTCCCAAAGGCCCCTTTACCCATGTGAAGAGTCTGATAAAAGTTGCGAGGGAAAGGAGGAGTCTGGGCCTGCTGGAGCAGAAGAGACAGAAAGACAGAAAAACTTCTCAATGGTGAGGATACTTGAAGAACTCTTTTTTTTTTTTTTTTTTTTTTTTTTTTGCCATGTTTTGTTTGGTTTTTTTCCAGACAGGGTTTCTCTGTGTAGCCCTGTCTGTTCTGGAACTCACTATGTACGGTCAGGCTGGCCTTGAACTCACAGAGATCCACCTGCTTCTGCCTCCCAAGTGCTGGAATTAAAGGTGTGCACCACTATGCCTGGCTTTAGAGGGCTCCAAGAAATTATATATATGTATGTGTGTGTATATATATATGTATATGTATACATATACACACACACATACATATATATATATAGAGAGAGAGAGATAGAGGATAGTTTTGCTACTGTTGTGAGTCACAATATAAATGTCTATGTTTTCCAGTGGTCTTAGGTGAGCCTGTAAAAGGGCCCATTCAGCCTTCAAAGGGTCGAGACCTAAAGGTTGAGAACCATTACTCTAGATGAATATCTTGGAAATGTTTAAAAAGCTCTAAATTTTTACACTAAGAACTGGGGGTAGGGGGTGGCACCCTTTAATCCCAGCACGCAGGAGGCAGGGGCAGGTGGATCTCTGTCAGTTTGAGTCCAGCCTGGTCTACAGAGCAAGTTCCTTGACAGCCAGGGCTACATGTAGAGAAATGTGTCTCGAAGGAAAACAAACAAACAAAGAACAGAAGAGAAGAAAATTTGCACAGGCCTGGTGGCATTTCCCTGTAGTTTCAGTACTCCTGATGCTGCTGAAGCGGGAGAATTGCCTGAGCCTAGGAGTTTGCCTGGACAAAATGAATAAATGAAAAATAAAATAATCTGTTGTATGGCCCAGAAACTCTCTTCATAACCAGACACTTTTCTTCCACCAGCCAGGACCCTGGAGCATGCGGCAGGCTAGGTCCGGGTCTAGAGTCTGGCTAAGCTAACAGCCAGGCAGATAGGATTGCCACCTTCAGGCAGCTGGTGTTCTGGTGGTGGACACAGCACAATTTAGACACAACCGAACTGAACTGAACCTGAGTGGGTGTGGTGGCACAGCCAACCATCCCAGCACGCAGGAGGCTGAGGGCAGAGCCCTACCACTGTGGAAGAACTCAGCACCAGCCAGGTGGGGGTGGGGGAAAAGCCAATCCTCCGCACCCCAGAGCACCTGAAATCTCTGAGCGGGGGGGTGAGGGGGGTGGGGGGTTGGGGGTGGGTGGGTGGAATTGTCAGGGCTGTCCAAGAGCAAAGTCACATTCTTTTATTTGCATGCTTTCTTCCTTTTCGTAAAGTTATGCTTATTTGCTCATCGTGTGTGAGTGGGGGCGGGGCGGGTGGCAGGCGCCACAGTGCACTTGGAGAGGTCAGGGAACAACGTGTCAAGTCGGTTCTCTCCTGCCACCGTGTGGGGTGGGGTCTCCGGATTTGGACCCGGGTCATCAAGCTTGGCAGCAAGCGCCTTTATCTGCTGAGCCATCTTCCCCGGCCCTCTTTCAGGCTGGCCTTGAGTTCACTAAGTAGCCCAGGCTAGCCTCAAACCTGCAGTGATCCTCCTCCTTCCCCTCCTCAGTGCTGGAACAGAGGCTTATGCATTGTAACGCCCTCCCCCCCCTTTTTCATCCAGTGCTCAGGGTGAACTCAGGACCTTGGGCACAGGAGGCATACACTCTGCCTCTAGGTTGCACTTCAAGGTCCTTGCACTGGCTGTTCCTGGCTGTTTTTGCGTCGATTTTAACTCGCCGTCCTTCAGACCTGTTTTAGACTGGCAAGGAGACTCAGCCAGCTGTCAGCTGCTAGCTGTGATGAACTGGATTGATACACGCTAACAGGCTGAAATGAGTTCATGCATTAGAACTATCACACACCCACGCTTCCTCTCATCTCAGTTTGTTGGCACGTTGTGTTAAATATTACTCAGTATCTTCATTCTGAGGCTTTTCGGCATCGCTTTGAATCTGACTCCAGGGCGCTTCCCCACCTCACTGCAGTCTCTCTCTGCTGTCTGTAGCTTAGACAGACATGTAGCTTACAGCCACATGTACCGAAGCCCCGCTTCCTCTCTGGCCAGGGTTACACTGTGTGCTGGTGCCAGGCCCCTCCGCTGCTGGGCTCCAGTGGGCGTCACCACGTCACACCAAGTGGTGACAGCTTGCAGGTGGGACACAACTTCCTCTCTGCCACACACACTCTCTCTGTGTGTCTGCCACTCACACGCATGTACACACACACACACACACACACACACACACACACACACACACACACAGTTTCTCCTTGATTAGCTTGCTCCAGAGACCCAGATGAATATCTCCTTGGGAAGCCAATGGCACCCATGCACCCCGCACCTGCCTGAGTCCCCCCAGCTCTGCCTGGAATCTGAGTATCTCTCCCTGCCCCCAAGCCCCCTTGGTGCAGGGCTCCTCAGTACGCGCAGAGAGCAACTGCCTCCAGCAACAGCCAGACCCATGGCCTCCTTCTAAGGAGCTAAAGTTGGGTCCATTTCAGGACTTTTGCCCCGCCTCTTCCCCTTGGACACCATTCCCCCTATCTTTTCACCATTGCTTGCTTTCTTTTCTTTTCTCTTCTTTCCTTTTCTTTCTTTCGGAGGGTGGAGAACTACAAACAGGATCTAACTATCCCAAACAGACCTGGAACGCCAGGATCTTCTTGCCTCAGCCTTTTAAGTGCTGGGGTAATAGGAATGGGCCACCAAACTAGCTGGTTCTTTCTTGTAAATTGGGGCATCTTCATCTCTGTGCCTTTGTCCAGACAGTGGCTCCCACAGCCCTCCACACTGCTTGACACTGCCGTTTCTTTGTCTCTTGTGTTCTTTGACACAGGCTCCTGTCACTCACTGCATTTCCAGGACTCCTTTTGCTGTCTGCACAGAGTAGGTGCTCAGTAAAGATCTGTTGGTGACTGCATCTGGGGACAGTAGGAAGGCCAGCATTGGGTAGGGCTGGGGGAAGGGAGGAGCAGGCAGACAGGCTCTGAAGTGTGTTCTCTGGGAGGTTCCTGCAGCTCCAAAGGTCCAGGCTCCACTGACAGTAAGAATTCAGCCAGGTAGGCACAGAAGCATGCCTGGTCTCAACAGAGAGATGGGCGGAAGCAGAACAGCAGGGGTTAAGGGCACATGGTCACGTGGGCACTACAGTGTGAGACATTGCATGGCTGGCCACAACTGTTCCTGCTGAACAGACAAGGACGCTGGAGCCACAAATCACTAGACACAGCAAAAGTAGCCAGAGCTCCAGAGCACTGGCTAGGACTTCTTTCCCAAGCTCTGGCCACACTGGGGAAGTTTTGGTTCATTTGGGGTGAAAGTGGTCCTAAGCCAGCTACCTGCTTCCGTTTGTCCATTGCCCCTGACCTTTTTCCAGCCAGGAAGGAAGGAAGGAAGGAAGGACTCAGCCTGGCTTCAGTGCCTCCCAGGGATGGGGGTGGGGGTGCCCAGGACTGGGCTGAGGCACAAGCCCAGCCTTTTGGCTGCTCCTCACCTGCGGATCAGACTTAGGCATGTCTGTCTTGCTGTTTCTATCACCCTGGTGCAGCCCGCTCTGCAGCCTGCTCCTAACCAGAGAAGGGCCTCAGGCCTGGCTCCAGGAACAAAGCAGGAGTAGAGCGGGGTTAAAGCCAGTGGACTGAGGCCCCTAAGACCAGCAAAAGCTCTATACCAGCTGTAGGGCAGTCAATGCCACGCAGGACTGGCCAAGTTCACTCCTTCTCTGAGCCCATTTGTGAAACATCGCTTGATGACGTCAGCTTCTTCAGGTTGCTCAAGAACTGGAGTGACTGAGGGCAAATGTTCCCATGGGATGGAGGGTGCTTTCCACCTTTCAGTGGTTTTACACAGCGATTCTCTGCCCAGTTCTGGCTAGTCCACTTGGGGTGACAGGGGCCCAAGCGTCTGGGCCAGAACCTGGGAACTGGCTTCATCAAAACATGGGCTATTTTACCTGTTCCCCTATTCCTGATTATCACTGTCACCCCGAACGCTAAAGACATGTGACCCGAGATAGCCTGTTAGGGCTCCCTGACCCATCTGGGGGCCTCCAACTTCATGTCCCATCTCAGTGGTCATTGATTGGCTGCTCTGGGCTCCTGCAAACACAGCTCAGTCAAGAGCCAAGGAGACACATCTATTTCCTTTTCCTGGGGTGCCGTGGGGGTCTGGATGGGAGAGCATAGGGGTCAAAGTGTCCCATGCCCTGACCCCAAACCTGCCTGGTCTCAGCTGTCCCACCAGGAGTCCCAGGCCTCCTGTAGATGTCCATCTGCTGGTAGGCAGGCTTGGCCTGTGAGATGCAAAGGGTCCTCCTCCAGAGCTCTGGCCTCTGTGAGAGGCCTGGGAGCTGCTGCAGGCAGCAGGACCTCATCAAGTGGCTAAGTGGCCATATTGCTTCTGCCTACAGATCCTGAACATGGAGGATGACCAGAACTGGTACAAGGCCGAGCTCCGAGGAGCCGAGGGTTTTGTTCCCAAGAACTACATCCGTGTAAAGCCACACCCGTGAGTAGTCTCATGCAGCTGGAGGCTATGCAACCCCACCTTGCCTTGCCAGAGCCAAGCTGCTTGGGGTGGCCCTGGATACAACACACCCCAAGGAGATGGACCCTGGCTGACCGGTCTGGGACAGGGGTGGACTAGGAGCACAGTTTGGCCCAGATGTCTCGGCCTGGGACCTAGGTCAGGTTCTTAGCAGAGGGCATTCAGTATTGCTTTCAGAAGATCTGGCAGCTAAACAGACCTTGTATACCTACTGGATACACTTTAAATGGCATCTGGGACATTGGTCAGGTTCCAGAGAGCCAAACACAGAGACAGGGGGATCAGAACAGTGGGATACAGAAAGGCAGGCAGCCTTTCTGCAGGCAGCCTTTCTGAGAGGCAGGTGCCTCTCAGAAGGGGTGGCGATGAGTGAGACGGACGCTGAGGGATATATAAGAGTTGGCTGTGTAGACAAAGGCAATGGCTTTTGACATTTTCAGCAGAAGGTGAAAGAGGGGAGTAAGCCAGAATGAGCCAAGGAAAGCAATGAGCAGAACCTTTAGTCCTGGGGACGGGCAGGAAGAGCTCAGGGTGCTGAGCCAAGAGAGCAGGGAGCCACGGGGGTGCTGGGCCAGGGGTGGAGCTCAGTCAGCAGGTGGGAGCTGTGCTGTGTGGCTGTGTGGAAGGGAAGGAGGTACAGGGTGGAGCCCAAAGGGTATTTCCTCTTTGTCTTTTTCTGCTTGTTTTCAAAGCTGCCACCATCTCCAGCATCCTGTGCCGAGCATGGCCCTGTCCAGGGTCCCCGTCCCCAGTCCCCGTCCCAAACCACTCTGCTGGCCTTAATGCCAGGCATTCCCTCACCCAGAAGCAGGAGAAGGAGGACACAGGGGAAGACAGAAAAGCATAGCATGCAGCCTGGGAGCTAGCCAGGCGAGGTCTGGGGCATAAGGAGGAGGTTGGAAGGCTGTAGAGTCCGAACTGCAGAGAAGCCCTGACCCAGGGCCAGGAGGAAAGGGATTGCAAGGGCTGCAGTCCTGGGTCAGGTTGTCATGGAGACCTTAAGGAAGGAGGGTCCATTAGGATGCTCAGAATCAAGGAACCCAAGACCCTGGTAATTGGAGGCAGCTCTAACCCTCCTTGGACCATGCAGGAACATGATCAGGTGCTAGCCAGATCCTAAGAGGCCTGCATCTGGCCCAGTTTGGTAACCTCAGACCCTGCCCTGGACCAAAACAGCTGAGGAGGTAAAGGATCTGATTGTGGGGTAGGGGAGAAGGGCTATGATCCTAGAAGGCTTCTGCCTATGCCGACCCACTTTCTTCCTGAGCCCCGGGGTGTCCTCTGCCTCTGGACCCAGAGACACAGACCCCGTATTCTCAGTGGAGTTGAAGGGTAATGAGGTGATTATAGGGCCAGCGAGGGCTCAGGAAAAGCCTAGGTCCCTGGGCCTGGAGGTTAGAATAGAAGTTTGCCAGAGATGACAGAGACAGGCCCAGGGATGTGTGGGAGGTGGGGTATAAAGCATGTTATCACAGCAGCAGGTACAAACACCTCCAGGTTTCTGTGTTCCTACAGCCGCCCAACTGCCCGCCTAGGTGGGAACTATTAACATCTTATAGTCGGGCTGGTAGTGTGTTTAATCCCAGCACTTGGGAGGCAGAAGTAGGCAGAGGTGAAGGCAGACAAATCTCTGTGAGTTCGAGGCTAGCCTGGTCTACAGAGCAAGTTCTAGGACAGCCAAGACTACACAGAGAGACCCTCTTTCAAATAAGCAAACAAAAACAAAACAAAACAAAACCAAACCCATCTTACAGACCAGCCGAGGCTTAGAGAGATTGGGTTTCTTGTCCAGGATCACTTAGCCTGCAAGATGTAGGCTGGGATTACAGCTAGGTAGTGGAGGCCCTTCAGGAGCCAGCAGAGAGGGACAGCGAGCCTGTGAGAGCAACTCTGTGTGAGCGAACCTCAGACTTGCTATGCAGCATCTCAGGAGACCCCAGGCCTCCCTGGTTTTCACACTCCATCTCAGTATAAGACGCAACACAATGTAGTCAAAGACAGAGTGATGAGAACTGAGTGTTAGAACTTCCTCCAACTGTCCTTCAAGCAAGTGAACCCCTTTCTCCATAGCTCACAGCCTGCTAGAACCATCATCCATGACCCCGTCACCCTAGCGGTCCCACTTCTCACCTTTGCTGCTTGGAGATTATATTAGGATTCTCTAGAGTAGCAGAACTTATAGAATCTCTCTCTGATCCAATTAAAATAACAATGGCTGACTATGAATGGAAAATCCAAGAATCCAGTGTCACTCAGTCCCCAAAGCAGCATGTCTCAGCTGGTCTTCAGTGCATGCTGGAACCCTGAAGAAGTAGGCTCTAATGCCAGTGAAGGAATGGACTCACTAGCGAGGCAAGGAAAAGTAGGCAGAGAGCAAAACTCTCTTCTTCCGTATCCTTATATAGGCTTACAGCAGGACGATCAGAGGTGGGTTTTCCCAGCTTGAAAGCTCTGGATTGAAGGTGTGTCTTCTTACCTCAGGGATCTGGCTCAGATACCTCTGATCTTCTGACTTCAAACTGAGCAAAATTCCCTCACAGGCCTCCCCTCTATTTTGGGGTTTTAGTTAATTCCAGATGTAGCCAAGTTGACAACCAAGAAGAGCCATCACAGAGACCAAGTTCCGAAGTGTGGAGTTTGGAGTCACATCCAGGCATGGCAGGCAGTTTTCTCAAGACTCCTCATCGCCCAGAGAATCCCCTCCTGGTCTAGCACATTAGCCAAGGATTCAATAAAATGCCCTGGGATCGGTGAGCTGAGAGCCACTGGCTGGAAAAGCCCTCAAGGCCCAGCCACAGAAGCTGGCTAGCCCAGCAGACAGCAAGGACCCCAGGAGAGGCTGCTCCTGCCTTGTCAAAGGCTTAGCTGGTGCAGTTCCGTCTGTACCCAGCCTGCTCCTGCCTGGGAGGGGCACAGGGAAGAGGGGCCACTATTACGGATGTCATCCATGTTTACTTGTGGTGCTGAGGACAAACAGAGCCTTTCACACGCCAGGCCGGCACTTCACCCCTGACCCATGCCCCAGCACGACTTTACACTTTAACTGTTTAAAATCAGTCCTGAGACAGTGGTTAAAGGTGCTCGCTGCCTGGTGACTTGAACAGTCCCCAGGACTTAAAATAAATGGTGAAAAGGGAGAACTGACAGGCGTCCTCTGGCCTACATAGACGTGGGATGTACATTCCCGCACATTTTTGTGCCCAAACAGAAATAAACAAATCATTTTAATGTTAAAAAAAAAAAATCAAGGCTAGCTGAGCGGGTAATAGTGCATTCTGCTCTTGGAGGGGACCTGTGTTTGGTTTCTAACATCCACATCAGGCAGCTCACAGCCACCTGTTACTCCAGCTCCCGGGGCTCTGACACCCTCTTCTTGATCCTCTTATCTATCTATCTATCTATCTATCTATCTATCTATCTATCTATCTATCTATCTATCTGTATGTATATATATATATATACATACACATAATTAGAAAAATAGTAAGAATACATTTTTAAAAAGAAAGAATATTCTCCCTCTACCAGCCAGACTGAGGCGTGCCAGCTGGTGGCAGAGCACTGGAGGCTGGTTTTTCTGTCTTGGGTTGGTCTGGCCTGGTAGGAAACAGCAGGAACAGGTTGCCTCAGCTCTCGTTTGCCTCTGCTGTGTGACCTTGATTCTCTTCCCCACTTCTCAGTTTCCCCGTGTGTAAAATGGGCACACCGATACCGGGGAGCCAGGGCCAGCCCTGCCACCTGCAGACACGGTCCCCTCTCCCCACAGGTGGTACTCGGGCAGGATTTCTAGGCAGCTGGCTGAAGAAACTCTGATGAAGCGCAACCACCTAGGAGCCTTCCTGATCCGGGAGAGCGAGAGTTCCCCTGGCGAGTTCTCAGTCTCTGTGAAGTGAGCTCCGGGGTCAGGGCGGGGTGGGCCTGGCAGGGCTGATGGCTGGGCAAAGGGCAAGGAAGCAAGCAGTGGTCTGAGCCCTGAAGAGCACAGGGTCGTGCTAAGAGCCAACTGCTGCGGCCTCAGCTGGCAGTCCAAGAGGGCCAGACTTCCTTGCCTGGTCGGTGAGCCAGCTGTGGAGGCTTCTTGGTTAGAAGGGGGAGCATGCCCACTTGGGGCCCAGGCTGGTGCTCAGGAAGTGCTGCTGACAATGTTGTCGGGAGGACAGACCCTGAGGCCTGGTACTTGTAATTCTGGTGCTGTCACATTGTGGCTGTGTGGCACAGGGCTGGTTGTTTAACCTCGCCGAGCCTGTTTCCTCGCAGGCAAAATCGGTCATTGCAAGAATGAGTCAGTCTACCTGGAGCAGAATGTCGGATTTGCTCCATAGGGAGGAACTCACACCTTGTGGGATAGTGCCTGGCAACAAAAGCCAAAGCAAGGTCGTTGGACTGGGGGCCATGTGGCCGATTAACACGAACACTCTTCAGCCTGGTACAGCAGACAAGGACCTCGGGCAGCGGGGTCAGCCCCTGGCTGCCAACCCTGGCTTCTAAGTCAGGCCAGACTGGCTGGAAGCTGCAGAAACAGCACTAAAGGGGAAAAATGGCTTCACTGTGGTGACAGAAAAGGAAACACGCGCCTGCATCAGGAGGGTACCTGGGGAAGGCTGCTGGGGAAAAATCTTCCGCCTGGTACCCAGGGGAGACTTCTGGGCAAAGGGAGCTGCACTTCAAAGCCCCCAAGGTGGGATGTCCCGATGTCTCGTGCAAGCACCCCGAAAGCCATGAGGTGGGAGCAGTAGGAGCAAGGTGCGGAGCCTGGCTCACCCCCGGCTGGGGGAGGGAAGCACATGGCAGAGGGTACAAAGCTTGGGACATGCTACTGTGCTAAAGGGAGGTGTGGCCTGTATGCGGCTCTTCAAGAACGCTTGCTTCCGGGCCAGGCTTGACCTCTGGCCAGAGGCTTTCCACAACATGCACGCTGAGGATCGGGGAAGTATGTGAAGACCTTCCGGCTCCTGCGGACCGCTGTTCTTCCCTTCTGCTCTGGTTGCCCGTGGAGCTGCAGGGCCCAGCCCACGATGGAGCTACTGCTCTTGGGACACAGCCCTGTGCACCACGCGTTCTGTCCCCGCAGCTGCTCAGCAGCCACCCAACTGTGCAGCAGCCGTTGGCTACTCCAGGAGGGTCCCCCACACCTTCCTCAGCTTTCTTGCCCATCTGGCATGCTGCATACACCAGGGTCCTGAGGCTGTCCTGTCCATCCCTGTCTCTTGGCTCCCAACTGGGTACAGCAGGAAGTGGCTCCTAGGAATGACACCTACCAGGAAGATAGTCCAGCCTCAGTAATTCCTGCAAGTGTCCCCGAGTCCCAAGGTCACATGGCCGAATGGACACCTAACACAGACTAGGCCTGGACAGAGAGGACACTGTCCTATTACACCCCTCTTGAGTTCTCCACAGACCCAGGCTGCCTTGGCAGCTCTTGGAGGGTTGGCCCTGTCCAGCTGCCCTGGGACAGAGGCAGAAGCCAGGAAGCATGATGGGATTCACATAGACCCAGAAGTTTTGCCACGGGCAGGTGTAGAAGGAAGTCCAAAAACAGGGGACACAGTCCAAGGGGGAAAGGGCAGCAGAGGCAGGCCTTCAGCGTGAGTGGAGCCCTGCTGGGGGCTGAGGGGGCTAGGCACTTGCGACAATCCAGAGGTCGTACAGTGAGGTCTGTTCGATGGTAAGAAGCCTGACTGGAAGGAGAGATGGCAGTGCTCTGGGACAGTTTCCTAGTAGGAGAGCTCCAAGAAATCCTGGCACACACCCCACAAGGCCCTTCCCGAGGTGGACCGGCCAGTGCTTACACAGCAGGGAATGCAATTGCACCTGAGGCCACCAGGTGGCCGCCTCCACCCTCGCTTCCTCCTTGCTTGGGCCAGGGATCCTGAGATAAGATTAAAATGTGCCCACCGGCTGGCACCTGTCTGCCTAACTTTCCCACATACTCCTATCCAGGCCACTGAAGACTCTTCTGTCATGGCTGATGGGAGACAGTCCCAGTTTAAAGCGTCTTGCTTCCTTTCTGGCTATGGGTGCCTTGGAGTTAATGCACACTTGTCTCGTCCACCGGACTGGTGTCGCTCTCAACACCTACTGTGAACCAGGCTCTGTCCCTGCGGTCACCAAAAAATAGGACAAAGCTCCTCAGTCCCTGAACACTGCTAGAGTGATGAAGAGCACATGGTTAGGAGCTAATGGCACCTGGGGAAAATGAGGCAGGGCTGTGGCTGCCTGATCCCAGTGTGCAGGTAAAGAAACCAACACTGAGAGGGCTGAGAAACTTGTCCAGACAGAACATTTCCTGAGACAAAGACCCAGCAGGGGACTCTTTCTTCTGCACCTGGTCCTTTCCAGGTCACCTCTCTTCTCCCTGTGCTGCAGGGAGGACTCTCCCTTGCTCTCCAGTGGACAGAGCAGCGAGGGCCAGACCTGGCCCAGCTGAGCCCCAGCTGGGAAGATGGGAGCTTGGGCTCCTGCCCACCCAACCTTGGTTCCCCTCTTTGCTGCTGCTGCTGCTGCTTCCACTAGGCAGGAAAAACTTGCTGAGCGGGACTGGCCTGACTAAGACCTTAAGCTTTCTGAAAGCAAGGACCAGGTTTGGCACAGTCCCCTGTGGGGGTTGGGGTCAGGGTCCCAGAGCACTGCCCAGCAAGGGGCGAGGGCAGTGACCTCCGAAGAGGTGGAGCTAGGTAAAGAGAGAGTGTACCAGGACATACTTCAGACCCCTGGGAGTCTGGCCCACACTGCCTCCTCTTCAGAACCCAGCTCTGGGGCTCAGGGGCAGGGTGGGATGGTGACGTAGAGGGGCTGACCCCTCTCAGACAGCTCAGCCTTCCTCAGCTGGGAAAGAGGGGCAGCTGCAGGGCAGGTTGCAGAAAAACAAGACATGCCGCATACAGTCCAGACTGTCCATACTGCCCGGCCCTGAAGATTTCCCAGCGGACAGGTGGTGGAAAGCTCCTGAACTCTTGGCCCTGTGCCCTGTCCCCCAGTTCTCCCATGGGATCCGAGAGCATCCCTCTCCAAAATTCTCCAAGCCTCAGGCTCTGAGCTGCTTATGGAAGAACAAGGATTCAGGTTTCCGGAACCTGCCCTGCCCCACCCCATCTAGTCTTACTGGGTCTCTGTACTCTTAGCCACACCAAGTCACTCTGTTGTTCACAATGACCCCTTCCCATGCAACTACACCTGAGGCCAGAGAGGTGGACCCACTCCCCCCCCCCCCCCCCCCCCGGGGCCGGCCGGGTGCCCCCCCCCCCCCCCCCCCCCCCCGCCGTTGGCATCTGTATCTTAGCCACTGTGGACACTCTGCTGTCAGCTCAAAAGCAGTTTTGTGTGAGTCCTCATGGGAATTGTGGCAGTTTCCTCTTGTGGAAACTGGCCCTTCCCAAGGCACACGGCAACGCTGTAACTTGCTGGTAGGGCTGGCTCGAGGCCAGGTCACCTGGTGGCTACAGCCTGAATGGAAAAGCCCTCAGTGAAGCCTGTGGCGAGGGGCCCTCAGGTTGGCTCTGTGGTGAGGGCTGAAGGCATAGAGGGCTGGGAGAGGGCGCTCTCAGGGCAGCTCGGTCTCCCCAATTCTGGTGCCTGTCTCAAGCCTTTGTGAATTTTGTGAGCAGTAAGGCTGTGTAAGAATGCAGAGACCAAAGTTGACCCCTGATGAGGGGTGTGAGATCAGCTCTCCAGAGGGGACAGTTTATCAGGGGCTTGAACATGAGTAGGAATGCAAGAATTCTTTTCTGCTTGAAGGCCGAGGCCAAGAAAGGGTGTTTATGTAGTCTATCTAGGCTGGCCTCAAACTGGACTCCGGGGTTACAAACCCTGCCAGGGTTACAGGTGGGAGCCAACACCCTCTCCAGGCCTTAGACTGGGCTGGGCAGGGAGCGTCCTGGGATTCCTGAGCTGTCTTCATCCTAAATCTCCACTCTTAACCCTGTGAAGCAGCCCAGCCCCAGGGCTGAGTGAGAAGAGGAGCAGCAGAGGGTGAGGTGGGGCTGCAGAACTCAGGAGGGGGTTGGTCTTTGCGGATGGCGCAGTCCTGGGAGCAGGTTGCATTTGGAATAATATCTGGGACATAATATCCCAGGGGGAATGACAACTGCCATGGCCACCACCCGTAATCAATCAGAGAGCTAGCTACTCTGATGGTCCGTGGGGAGAGGCGGCCCCACCCAGCCACCCTGTGGATTTCTGAACAGGTTGTGGCTGCACTCAGGCCTCAGTTTCCCTCCTGCGCATCAGGCAGGGAGGCAGGACCAGCCACCCCATGACAGGAAGGGGGTTTATGGGAATTTATGATGCCCACTCACTCACACTAGCAGGCTGTTGGGGTTGTGGGCTAGGCCTGCACAGGTCCCTAAGAGGATGGTTTGCTTTTGCTTTAGTGGGAGTGGAACAGACTTGGTGCAGTTTGGTGGCATTAACGAAAAGGCTGAGCAAAGAATTAGAAAGAAAGGGGCCCTTGGTGTCAGAGAGGCCAATGAAGACAAGAAACCAGCTCTTGAATCTGAAGAGTTGGATTCATCAGGAGGGGAATGGCAGCCAGCCACGGAAGGCTCTTGAGGAGAAAGGAAGGAGGTGGAAAACTCAAAACACCAGGGTGCCTCTCACAGGCAGAGTTAGGTGGGAATCAGGAGGATCTTAGGACTCTGTCCCCAGAGTACTGTGAGGCCTGGGTGGGGGAGGGGATGTGCAGGGGAGGAGGGAGAATGCCAAAGCCCTGAGGGCATGCTGAGGAGGTGTGAAAGAGACGCTCTCAGAGGTGCCCAGGGATGACACCAGAAGCCAGTCAACACTTTCCAGCTTTCTTATCCCAGGGAAGTGTTATCCCTCTGAGAAAGCTGAGGTTCTGAGACGTTACAATGACTTGCCTGGAGTCACACTGCTAGGAAGCGGCCTTGCCTGGAGCCCCTAACCCCGAATCCCATATTCCGATGGCTCCCAGTACTCTGCCTCCTTTGACTCTAGAGCTCCCCAGAGTAGGGCCTGGCTCCAGGGTGGGGGCAGATCTGAAGTTCTGGGTCTTCCCCTGCTCTCTCCCCCCTTCCCCCCAGTTATGGCGACCAGGTGCAGCACTTCAAGGTGCTTCGAGAGGCCTCAGGGAAGTACTTCCTGTGGGAAGAGAAGTTCAACTCCCTCAACGAGCTGGTCGACTTCTACAGAACCACCACCATTGCCAAGAGGCGGCAGGTCTTTCTGTGTGACGAGCAGCCAGTGCTCAAGGTAAAGACGGGCCGGGGAGCCCCGAGTCGGAGGGCTCTCTCCTCACCTTCCCCTGAAGCTCAGGTCCCCAAAGCGGCATGAGTGTGGTTCCCTATTGGAGTTAAGCAAGGATGGGGCTGGGCAAGTATAGAAGGTAGGGGACAGTGCAGAAATCCCACCTTGCCAACAGACTGCAGTGTGCAGCAGGTGCTCAATAAATGCTTATGCACCACTGAGCACCTGCTGAGTACCACACACCGAGGTGGGATGTGCATTCCGATTTGGGTTTGGGTTTCAGGGTTTTGGTTCGTTCTCGGGCAGGGTATTTCTGTGTAGCCCTGGCTGGCCCAAAATGTGCTATGCACAACAGATTGGCCTTCAAATGCTCCTCCTAGCGCAGCCTCCCAAGTGCTGGGATGAGCCTGGCGCTCTGCACTATGAGCACCTCACCATTGTTATACAGATGGGGAAACCGAGGCTGAGAGTGAGCCAGCTCACGGGAGGCCTCTCCTGGTCTCTGCTCCCTAAGGAGGGTCCGAGCAGCGTGATCCCTCAGGGGCCGTGGTGGTGTAGGGAGCCCCATCCACCCCTGGCCTTCACAATAACAGCAATTTGCCAGCAGCCAGCCCTTTCATCAAGGAGCCAGGAGCAGCTCTCACTCTCATTAGGGTGACGACACCAGCCGACTGGGTTATTAGTGCAACACGGTGTTTTGCTTAGAGGTCAGGACAAATCAAGACCTGGGCAGATTTGAACTTGAGTGCTGCCGAGAGGGAGGGGAGCGTGACTCCAGCCAAGGCCTGGGGAGGGCTGACTCCACACAGTCAGGCTTTGTGTTTTTCTCCTCTTCCTAGATACCCTCAGGGCCACTTCAACCCTTAGCTGGGCCTGGGTGTTCCCTGTTCATTCAATAGGATGAGCTGAGGAGTTTGCTTTATCAGGAGAGATACGCTAACTTCAGAGACCCCAATGGTATCCACATGGCTGGAAGCTCCTGGTTTCTGGGACCCAGTGGCCCAAACCTTGTCCCTCCTGCTCACCACCTAGGCTAGCCCTGCTTAGTAGAAGGGAGGGGCTGAGTTGCTATCTGCTCCCCTGTACTGGCTCTGCCAGAGCCCTGGGGTCACCCATCGGCAGGGGGCAGGGCGAGCCTCTTCCTTCCTGGGCAGAGCCCACTGATGCTATCGTTTTGAAGTTTCTGCAGGCTCAGCAGATGCAGAGAAGAGGGCCTTTGCTGGGCACAGCAGGTGCCTGGCAAGAGCAGTAGGGAAGATAGTGGCACCAAGGAAGCAGAGATGAACTGAAACCACACCCACAACCCAGACCTGAGAGCCCATAGCAGGAGCAAAGGTCCCCCTCCCCCAAGCCTGAGGGGGCTGTGCCAGGAAGCATTTCCATGCCTGGCATCAGTTACCATTTTTGTGTGGGCCCAGAGGTAGGGAATAGGACCCAGAGAGAATCGGGGGCCTAACCAAGTTCCACCAAGGCCAGGACTTAAGTCCCACTCTGTGAGCGGCAGAGGCCCCACAGCCCCTAGCACAAGCCCGATTCTCCCATGGGGCTCCCGGGTACAGAGAGCTCGCTGCCTCCAAAGGTGCCTGATTATTCTGCTTGCTACTCCTCCGCAGCCGCCCCGGGCCTGCTTTGCCCAGGCCCAGTTTGACTTCTCGGCACAGGACCCATCTCAGCTTAGCCTCCGCCGAGGTGACATCGTGGAAGTCGTGGAGTGTGATGACCCGCACTGGTGGCGGGGCAGGGCCGGCGGGCGCCTGGGCTTCTTCCCACGTAGCTACGTGCAGCCGGTACACCTGTGACCCCACAAGACCAGAGGAGCGATGCTCCGGGCGCAGCTTCTTCACACTAACTGGGACCGACGTCGGTCACCTCTAGGCTGGGAGCACAAGCTTCCCCGCTTCCCTCCCGATGGTCTGTCTCCGGGGTTGGTGATGTCACCCACTACTACCGAGGCCCACCCTCTCCAGATCTGAGGACCAACTGCTACTGGCTGGGGCTCAGCTCGGAGAGTGCTCCCCTTGAGCAGCCGCCGCTGCCAGTCTTCCAGAGGCCCTTCTGGGAATGTGGCTTAGCCCTGGGCAACCATGACTTTCAGAGTGCAGAGCAGTTCCTCCTACTCCAATAACCTGGGACCTCCTGGCCTCACCCCACCAGCCCTGGAATGAGGCGATACAGAGGTGAATCCCATTGGAAGAGGTGCAATAGGGGCAGATGCCATGCAGTGGGTTCCCTCCTGTTGGCTGTAGGCAGAGACCAGCTTGGAGGCCTGGGCTATGCCGGTTGGGGAGGAAGAGCCAGCCTATGCCAGCATTGACTGAACTGAAGTCCAAGGGGGTGGTGCCTGGCCATGGAGGGACCCTGAGCTGCCTCTGTCCAGAGTCAGAGCAACCTTCAGATTTCGAAAACTGAGTCAGATTTGGCATGGCCTGGCATGGTGAAGGGCTTTAGGGGAGACAGACAGACAGACAGGTTGTCTTTGGTCCCTTGAAGAGCCCAGACTACAGGCACCTGAGGTTCTCTCTGAGTCCAGGGCTGGCCCAAGACCCTTTAAGCTGTGAGCTTGGCATACCCTATGCTTCCAACCTGAACCCACGTATTGAAAATAAAACATTAACCAGTGGACACCTAACAAAATCTTTCTCCCCATATCTGACTTCTTTAGTGCTGTTTTGAAATGATTCTCTGCTACATTGCAGAGCTCCGGGTCTGCTGGCTCAGACAGACATTTGGTACTGACTCACTGTATATCTGTAGGCAAATTCTGTTTCCTTGGGCCTCCATGTCCAACCAAGGAAGGAAGGTGGCCTAAGGGCTTGAAGCTCCCACCTTCCCACCGGGGTGGTGGCATCAGGCAAAATAGGCGTAGAAGAAGATGTTGACACACATGAGGAAGATGGCGTTGAAATTACACACGCGGGTCCAGAAAGCACGTTTCTGGGGTGTTTGGCTGTTGCCTAGGGGAGGTTGAGATAGGACAGTGAGGGATGCAGGCTACACTTGGGTGTCTATACCTTTAGCTCCAGCCTGGGGAGGGGAGAAAAGCAATGCCAGGCTTGCTCACTTACCTGCTTTTGTTCCTAAGGTCAGGTTTGGAGCCAGAGTCCACCAGGTGAGGTTTTCAATCTGCAGGGAAGAGGTACAGGACATATGGCAGGATAGAGTGGCCCCAGAGAGGGTTCCAGTCAGTTAAAGGAAGAAGTTACAAAGACAAAGGTCTGGGCAAGGAAGGGTTAGGAGTCAACGGTGAGAATGACTGGAGTCAGAGAGAGACAGAGACCTGGATGTGAGTAGAGTCGGGAATCCATCAGAGACAGGTCAGGAATGGGGCCTGTGGTCACTAGGGTCAGGAGACAGGACCGCCTCACCTGTCTTTGCTGAGGCGGCGGGCTCAGTAGGCTCCCAGCGGCCACAACAGCACAGGTGAGGAGGAAGAGGGCAATGGCAAAGTGCAAGTAGTGTATATTTCGGAGAAGGGCTGGCCGAGTGTCTGCTTGGCCGCAGGGGGGCTCTGGGTGCAGGAATTCCAGGACCAGCCTCAGGGCGCCCAGCAGCAGCCCCGCCATCAGGCCCCAGAAGGCCCCCTGAGGAAAGGAGAGACAGAGGAACATCTCAAAGGACTCACAGGGCACGCTTAAGGTACCACACCGGACCTGTCTGTGCCACCTACCCGCTCATTGGCCCTCCGCCAGAAGATGCCCATGATGAAGATGGCGGTGACAGGGGGCGCCAGCGAGCTGGTCACTGACTGCATGTAGATGAACAGCTGTCCGCTGTTGGAGCCCTGCAGGATGGGGATCCAGGCCACGCTCACACCGACGAGCACCACGATGACTAGCCTGCGGGAGGCAGCGGCCAGCCCTGCCTCAGCTCTGCATCTTCCCTGCTCCCCCAAACCTGCCTCTGGTTCCCTCTGCCCGTCTCAGCTCTGGCCACCAGGAACCAGGAGCTCCTGCTCCTTCCTCTGCCACGACTCCCAGTCACTCGGCTCTGCTCCGGCCTTCTCCTCTCTGTGTGCCCCCTCTGCAGGCACGCTCGTGCTTGGGTCCTGCAGTGTTTTCCTAAGCTCGCCAGGCCTATGGGGACTGTGAATGACACAGTGGCCCTGGCGTCTGGGCCAGCCTAGTGGGACTTAGACCACTCTCGGATCGTCTTCCTTCTTGGCGAAAACTGCACATCCCAGCCAGCACATTCTTGGCTCTCAGCCCTCAGCCCTTGGCGGGTGACCCCCAACCTACCCACTAGCGACCCAGGGGTGCTTCGCTCCTCCAAAGAGGAGCTTTGGGGGCTGGCCTTGCAAAACAGATCCACCAGGGGCAGTGTGGGTCTGCGGGCCTCAGGGGAAACCCTGAGACCGCAAAGGTGCAGCCCCTCTTCTAGAGCCGGAATCCCACTTGGTTGAGTCCTCTCCCGGAGTGGGCGACCACGACCACGGCATGCAAGACTGAGGGACTGTGTGCAGGTGGGTGGGTCCTCCCCCGGCCTCTCCTCCTGGCCAGGCTGGAGGCAGAGGGTGGCAGGAGGAGGAGGAGGTGCCTTTGATTGAGGCTAATGAACCCTTAGACTGGCGCACAGCTGGGCGCGGCGTCTTCAAAGCCAGGCGGCCTCCACCGACACGCCCTCCAGCCCGAGGGGCTAGCAGCTGCTGGGCCTGGTGTGAAGAGTCTCACCGCCCGCCGCCTGCTCAAGCCAGGCTCCTGGAGGAGCAGGCCTCTTCCTACAACAGCCTCCAGGGGGCGCGCACACCCCCACTCTCTCCCAGGTGGCTGTCGAGGTGTGTGTCGGGGAGGAAGGGCCTCTGAGACCTCCGCATTGCCCGGCTGGACATAGAACCAAGGCAGAGGGGACAGCAGGGAGGGGAGTAAAGGAGGGGTCATCACTGTGGATTCACAACACACCAATTCCGCCTCTGACAGCTCTCTTGGCTTACAGTGAAAACAGGTACGAAGAGCCTGTTTCTGGGAGGCCAATGAGACAAGAAGCATGAGGGCCACAGGCCAGACTACCAGGGCTACCACAGCCCCAGGCCAGAGAATGGGGCACCCATTTCGGGACAGGGAGGTGTCCAGACCCAGGGCCTAGGAGGTGGGAGTTTGAAGGGACTTCTTTCAAGGAAAAAGGTGTCTCTCAGAGGGACTAGCCTCTGGTCACACAGCAGCCTCAGGGAGGCAGGAGCATACAGGTGGTCAGGAGTCACGTGACCCGGGCTGGTAGATAAGAACTTGTACTACTACAGAGGCCAGAGGCTCGCTGCCTGCGGATGAGCTCATGACATCCCGGTTCCCAGGCATGTCCCAACAGGGCTCTTCCCACAGAAGCCAGCTGCTGGGAGAGCCCCTGCCCCAGGCCTGGCAGCCCCGCTTCAGGAAGAAGGCTGCAGTTGGCCCTTGATATTGGGAAGAGAGCAGGCACACTAGGAGACCACTCTCCAATGCTCTGGCCAATACCCTTCCCCCCACCTCACCCCCACACAGCCAAGCACTTGGGTAGGGCAGAAGTGTCCTGCAGGGGGCCCAGAAGAAACTGCGGGTCTTCAGAAGAGCCAGGGTGTTGGCCACCTGAGACTAGGGACATCCGTGTGGCCTGGATGTGGCCGATTTGAGAATTAGCTCTGGGATCCATTCAGGGGAGCTGGAGCAAACCAGAAGGCTCAGAAAGATCTCTGGCGTAGCCGGGGAAGCACAGCTTCTGGCCTCTTCCCTCCTTTCTCTGCTTAGCAAAATTCTACACATCCTTTAAAACCCCAAGTCTGGTGAGGACTCCACAGGCAGTTAGTTGGTGGCGCTGCAGAAGCCCCTCCCCGCCCTCCCTTACCGTCCCACCAGCAGCAGCTCCCGCTCTCCTGCGCAGGGCCGCAAGCGCCTCCAGATGTCCATCGTGAAGAGCGTGCTGCTGCTGTTAAAGATGGAGGTCAGCGACGACATGAGTGCAGCCATCATTACGGCTATCATCAGCCCTCGAAGACCTGAGGGCAGAACAGGGTCCCCCGCTGTGAACCTGCGCTGCTGGGGAGGGGGGTGGCAAACTGATGATACTGGAAGTGAGCGGGACTCCAAGGACAGCCTATGGCTGGGGCTGTGGGAGACTTCTGAAAGGGCTGTGAAGCCTGAATTCCGAAGCAATTACCCAATGGCAGGGCTGTTCTCAGCCCCGGTGTCTACCTTTCGCAGAGCCTGAGCTGACAAAGCATTTTTTCCTGCCCTGGCTTCCCTGGAGGGAGGAGGATCCATATGCCAGAAAGTGGGGAGCCCAAGACAGCCTCAGGGACAGAGGTAGAATAGTGGGGCATGGGAGAAGAAGGGACCCTTGGCAGGTAGGTCACACCTGGCAGACAGTGGCCTACTCTCCGGAGCTCCCTGTGACCCCACTTCCTGTACAGAGCAAGTCTCAGCAGGCTTGGTGGATCCCTTCTTGTCTCTGGGAAAGAGCCTTGGTGGAGGTGAAGGCGTGAGAAATCCACCCTATTTCCTGTGTGTGAAGGGTCCCCAGCCTGGCAAGGCAGTGTTTTGGGGCGTTAGGGGCTACAAAGGGCCCAAAGGGCTGTGATGCTCAGGCTGATCACCTTCTGTGTGTCCCTCCTCTACAGCACACAGACTTCTTGCTTCTACCTTCCACTCCTAGAAAGGGTGGTGATACAGCCTGACCTCACTTCTACAGTGTGACCTCTAGGCATCCCGTGACCTGCTCGGTTCCCTACTCAGGCTGACTAGGATGGCGCACAAAGGAAAGTGGGTTAAGACATGGTTCCCCCAAACATTTCTCTACCCTCCTTGGTGTTTGGGAGGTGGGTTGGTGCTTATTGCACCCATTTCTTAGGCAGGGAGTTCAAGGCCTAGGAAAGGCTGGAGGCCCAACAAGTGTGTGCCAGTGCAAGGCTGAGTCCTTGGCTCAGTCTGGGAGGCACAGCCTGGGGTGGGAGTCCACAGTGTGGCCAGGCCCTGTGCCAGGCAGTATCCCTGTGTCATTAGGCTTAATCCTGGCAACAGCTCTCAGGATGGGTAGACTCATTATCCCCAATTTATACATGAGGACATCGGGCTCCAAGGAGAGAAGGGATGTGTGCCAAATAACTCCATTGGCACATAGCAGAGCCAAGGTCTATTCCCAGGTATGTGTACCCACATCTGGGGTTGGCCCTATGGGCAGGGAGGCGCCTCAGCATCCAGACGAGGCAAGACTGTAGGGCTCAGAGAGCCAGGCTTACGGTGAGGCTTCCTCCAGCCCCACACCATTGCCTCTGCTTGCAAACCTCCTTGGCTGGGAACTCACCACCCAATACCACATTAGCAGGGCTACCACAAGAACCACCGGGAAAGCCTAACCTTGCCCCATGGCTCTTCGTACTGGCAACAGTAGTCTTTGGGAGCTCATTCTTGTAAATATGGGTGCTGAGGTTCCTGGACTCCTGATCTCAAAGGAATAAGCAGTGGACTTCAGTTTGTGTGTGTCATCCTGGGCCTCAGTTTCCCCATATGAGAAGGTAATGATAAAACGGTCAAGGCAAGGCAGTAGGTAGCCTTTCTCCAGAGGTAATATGCATGGTCGGGTCTGTGGCAGCTGACATGCTTGTGACCTTGCAAGGTCACACCTCACTTATCTCTTTTTTTAAAAGATTGATTGATTGATTGATTTTATGTGTGTGTATATTTTCTCTTATGGGTTTATGTGTATCACATGCATGTGCAGGGGCCCTCAGAGGCCAGTAGAGAGGGTCAGATCCACTGGAGCTGGAGTTACAGGTGAGCCTCCATATGGGTATTGGAAACCAAACCCCCAGATCCTCCACAAGAGTAGCAAGTGCTCTTCTTAACCATCAAACCATCCCTCTATCCCTAGGTTCCCCATCTTTAAATGAAGATGAGCCCAGCCAAGCAGCCTGGGGAAGAAGAAAGAGCTGATACGTGGGACGCCTGGGTTTTTACTTATGGTCACTTCTGGCTGGCCAGCTGGATGGCACAGGGACTCCATACAGGATCCAACCCTCACTCACCAGAACCTTTCACCTGTCTGTGACATGGGGACTCACCTATGGGCATCAGCTCCATGACCAGCTTCGGGTAGGCAATGTTGGAACAGCCAATCTCAGCCCCACAGGCCCGCAGACACTCGGATGGTACCACACAGCCCACGTCATCTGTGAGAAATAATGCCTGTGCGCGTTGCATACACACACACACACACACACACACACACACACACACACACACACACGTGCCAGACTAGCCTGAGCGGCTGGCTTGGTAGCCCTCTGACTCCTTGCCTCAGTTTCCCAGAGTTAGTTCCTGGGGCTCTCGTCCCTGGTTGTTCTCTCTGCTGATGCCCTTCTCGCTAGCCTTCATATTGATTGCTATTCTCAACTCCAAGCCAGGGGTTACTGATATTATGTTGTGCCTATGACCCTGTGCAGGGGTTTGTCCCCTCTATGCCCGCCCACCCAATGCCAGCTCAGCCACTCTCCTTAAGATGGGAAAGAGAAGCAGGAGAGCAGAGGCCTGCACCATGCCCACTCAGCAGCTTGTCACCCATAACCTCTGTCCCGCACCCCAGCTCCAGGACCATCTTACCTGCTTGTGCTTCTCTGCGCACACCCTGCGCTGAATGCCTCCATACCTCTGCAGACACAGGCCCTCCTCCCTGTGTGGCCACTGTCCTATGAACACCCACAGCCATCTTTGTTTACCTCCTGCTCCTCTGAGGCTCCTGACTGCCCCCACCTGTCCATCTGCCCAGAGCTCCTGAGGCCCAGGATTAGTTCCTGTTGTTTGTTTACTATGCCACCTTCTTCCATGCCCTAGAGCACCCCAAGGGCAGACACCAGTTTGAATCATCCCAAATTCCAGGCATCGCCCAGCCTAGGGCTGGGCCCAGAGGAGACAGTCTGAACTTTTGCTGAATGAAAGGATGAGTAAGCGAGAGGAGGGAGGAAGGAGGAAAGACTGAGGAAGAGAAGGGAGAAAGGTTCTCAGGAAGAGCCCCTCGCAATTCTGGCACTTTCTCCTGCCTCCTAACCCAGGGAGTTTTATAGCACTGAAGAAGATATAGTTGCCTGAGATACACCGACAGACCCAGAACAGAGCCTGGAACTCTGTGGAAGGCTCCTGAAACCTCAGGGGCCTGGGACTCATATTTGCATCCTGGCCCAGCTCTGCCGGTTCTGCCACTGGAGGACCCAACCCTTCTGGGAGGAAGGGACAGCATCCTAGCACATAATGACTCTTAAAGCCAGGTGAGGAGATTCCCCCAAGTTTACTGCACCTGACCCAGACTCCTCACATGAGCTCTGTCTGCCTCTGGAAAGCTGGGCTAGACAGCAGCCCAGGCAGACAGATCACCAAGACAGCCAGCTCTGGGGCAGTTGGAGCCAGCAAGGGTTCTGGCTTCTGTAGTCAGGGGGCTCTTGCTAGGTTCTGGCTTTACCAGGGTACCTGTCCATCCTGCAAGGTGCCATACCAGAGCCTGGAACTACTACCCCCACAATCCTCTTCCCCATGGCCAAGTCCAGCTTGGTTCCTGGGCACAGGATGTCATATCCCCACTGACCCTTCCATCTACCAGTCTGCCTATGGCCTATCCTGATCAACATCCTGGGAGCTGCCCCCATACTCCACAGGGGCTCACTAGGCTGGGACTGTGCCAAACCATGACCCCTGGACCACCTTCATTCCCCAAAGCAGGCGGCACCCAGGTGTTCGTGGCATCTCTGAGCCTCTGCATCTGTTGTAACCTTTCTCTCCCCAGACACCCAAGGAACCCAAACTCATTCTTCTGAGCTCACAGATGTTTGGCTTCTCCAGGTCTGGTAGCAATATCCTCCTCAGCACTAATAACCTTACAACTTCTGTTAGCCTGCTCCCCATCACATAATGTGAAGGGGTCCCTGGGAGAATCCTGGTTTTCAGTCATGCCTAGCACAGCCATCATATGGCAAATGCTGCCCAACTTTTTTGACAGACGAAAGGACCTTCTCCTAGGGGAGCTGCCGGATGTACTCAGCATCTTAAACAGTAACCAAGACCCTCACTGCTTCCCACCAGGCACATCCCAGCCTATCTGGGGAACCAGCCCCAATGCTGATGCTGTCTGGCCAGTAGGTGCTGGGAAAAGGCAGACTGGCCCCAGCTGAGAGCGGGTTTCCCCAGACCCTTGCTGTATGATGCTGAGTGATCCTTTAATGTCTTGAAGGCTGTTTCCTCCCATATAGGACAAAAAAACTTAACCTCAACTATCAAACCTTCTGTAAACTTAGCTTAGAACTGGTCACAGATTTTAATGTGAGATATTAACAAGTGATCAAACTTTTGAGGCCTAGATCAAAAGTTCTTTGACACTGCACGGAAAGCATGATCTGTGACTAGTAAAAACTGATGAAGTGGCACCATCAAAGTGCACATCCTTGGCTCAACGTGATATCTATAAAGAGGATGAGGAGACATGCACAGACTGGGAGCAACCATGCACCCTCCACATGGAGAACAAAGGGTGCTAGAAACTCAGCAACAGAAAGGAAGCCATTAAGAAATGGGCAAAGCAGGCTGGAGAGATGACTCAGAGGTTAAGAGCACTGGCTGCTCTTCCAAAGGTCCTGAGTTCAGTTCCCAGCAACCACATGGAGGCTCACAACCATCTATAATGAAATCTGGTATCCTCTTCTGGCCTGCAGGTGTACATGCAGACAGAACACTGAACACATAATAAATAAATAAATCTTAAAAAAAAAAAAGAAAGAAAAAGAAATGGGCGAAGTTACAAACAGAACCTCACTGAAGAGCACACACAGAAGGCACACAAACGCCTAAGATGATCAATGACAGTCCTGGCTAGTTTTATGTCAACTTGACACAAGCTGGAATCATGTGAGAAGAGGAAAATGTCTCTCCATAAGATCAGGCTGTAGACAAGCCTGCAGGGCATTTTCTTAAGTAGTGATTGATTCAGGAGTGGTGAGGCCAGCCCTGGGCTGGTGGGTTTGTGTTCTGTAAGAGCACAGCTGAGAAAACCACGGAGAGCAAGACAGCCCACAGCACTCTTCCGTGGCCTCTGCTTCGTTCCTGCTCCCAGGTTCTTGCCTTGAGTTCCTGCCCTGACTTTCCTGGAGAATGGACTGTTACTGTATAAAACAAGCCCTTTTCGTTCCCATGCTATTTGTCCTGGTGTTTCACCAGAGCAGTGGAAACCCCCGCTGAGACAACAACAAAAGCCATCAAGAGTACAGTTCATAGGCCAATAAGACTACTGAGGAGAGAGTGCTTGCCTGCTACATGAAAGGCTAGGCTCCATCCCTGGCACTGCAAAATAAAGAAGTAATCACAATAAGATCCTATACAGGGCCAGAGAGATGGCTCAGCGGCTAAGAGCGCTGTCTGCCCTTCCAGAGGTCCTGAGCTCAATTCCCAGCAACCACATGGTGGCTCACAACCATCTATAATGTGATCTGATGACCTCTCTTGGCAGGTGGGTGTACATGTAGATAGAGCACATTAAAAAAAAAAAAAGACATTTAATTTAGCTGGCATGGTGGGTCATGCCTGTAATCCCAGCACTAGGGGAGGCAGAGGCAGGCAGATCTCTGTGAGTTTGAGGCCAGCCTGGTCTACAGATCGAGTCCAGGACAGCCAAGGCTGCACAGATCCCATATAGGTATGCAAATGCGTGTGTTGGCTGGATGGAAGACATTCACATTGTTGGTAAGGCTAGAAGATGGCCCAGGGTTCTAGACTGCACTCTGGAAGTTTGCTAATGACATTGCCATTTCCACAGGACCAGTTGAAAATAGCAGCCAGAGTTGGGGCAGGAACCTGGTTGTTTTAGTTCTAATGAGAAAAGTCTCCACAGTGTCACAATTCTGCTATTCCTAGTTGGCCTCAAACATGCAATCCTGTAATCCCCCTGCCCCAGCATTCCAAGTCCTGGGATTACAAGTGTGCACATCTTGACGGTAATAGTTGTTACATAAATCTATACATTTGACAAGGCTATATACCACCACCACCATCACCCCAGCACACAAAAACACACCCAGATACTGGTGAGATCAGATGCAGCTCTGTGCATTGCACCAAAGAGCTTTCTGGCCAAGACAGTCATATCAGATGACATAGTGCTGCCAAAGGTACTAACAGCTTCCTGTTCACTTTTTACAACTTGTGGCTTGACCAAGAGTGGGTGTCCAGCCAGAGGGCCAGGTTCCTTAACGAAGCCAGGAACTCTGCAGTGGGAGAACAAGAGGACAAACTGAAGGCCACCACTGCCCTTCTCTGCTCCTTGGCATATGGGAGGTGAGGGGGGTGGTTCAGGTGTTGGGGCAAGGTGGGTGGGCGGTGGTGGGGAAGGGTGCCAAGCAGGAGCAGGTATGGAACCACAGTGTTGACATGGTGTAAGGCCCGATGTGGATGAGGGCCAAAGGTTGGGGGTGAAGGGCTTGGGCCTGGGGACCAATGCTGAGGATCCCAAGGGTGCTAACTAGGCCTGGGAGGCAGTGGATGCAGGGTAAGGAGGCCTCACAGGAAAAAATGGGCAGTGACAACGTGTCTGGAGGGGTACAAGGATGCCATAAGCCAGTCCTCAGTAAAGGAAGGGTCCCCTAAGACTCAGACCAGCTCCATGTTGGCCCAGAACTGGTAGGGTAGGCTGAAAAGACGGCAGGACTGGCTTAGTGCCCCGGAGCAACAAGCTTCAGGGAGGAGCCGTTTGTCTGCAGGGCCTAACAGGCTTTGCCAACCTGCACCTGACACACTGCCCTCAGATGGGGAGAGCATGCTCTCCATCACTGGGGGACACCTAGCCAAGAGCTGAGTCTGAGCACAGCTTGATCCTCTTCACCCTTCTCTGCCGCAGGCAGGGCTCAGGCATGGGGTGTGCACAAGGTCGTGACAGGTGTGATCTCAGCAGGCCTCAGTGTTCCGGACTTATCTGGGACTGTACTGTGCACACGGAGATTGTGGAAGCAGCTGCGGGTGGACGCGGGCCTCAGCCCACGACCCAAGCTTCCGTCTACAACTGGACAGCTGAGCATCCCACCTGCGAGTCAGAACTGGGTTAGGGCTGGACCAAAATCGCGGGGGAAGGCGTCCGTGCGGCCCGAGGCAGCAAACTGTCCAGCCTTACACCGTCGGTGAGAGATGAATCAGCTTCCGGCCCCGCCCCCGAGGCCACACGTGACCCCAGGAGAGGGCGGGATCGCCTTTAGTCACCGGCGGTCTAGCCGGCTGCCACCACCAACGCCCGTACTTCCCCAGGTCGTCCGACCTGCACGGCGCCACCTGCCAGGTAAGCAAGTCCCTCCTCCGGGCAGGCCTCCGGGTTTGCGAGCTCGACCCGGGTTTGCGTCCCGACTCCTACTCCAGGCTGGGACGAGTTCCCTGGCAGCCCCAGCTTATTCCCAGGGCTCCGCGAACCCCAGGCGGTTCCCAAGCGCAGTGGCGAACCGCGGCCCTGGACCGCTCCGGCTCCCTCCGCCCCGCCCACACTGCCACGCCCCTCTCCTCCGCCCCGCCCCCTCCCGCCCTCTGACCCGGACCGCGGTCTTCTGCTGGTTCCCTCAGGTGCGCTTCGCAGAGGCGCCGAGGCCCCGGAGCCCGAGAGCGCGGTGGCCGTCGGGCCGCGTCCCCGTAGCGAGGGCCGCCATGGCCTTCTCCCAGGTGCAGTGTCTGGACGACAACCACGTGAACTGGCGTTCCAGCGAGTCGAAGCCCGAGTTCTTCTACAGCGAGGAGCAGCGGCTGGCCCTGGAGGCCCTGGTGGCCCGGGGTCGCGACGCCTTCTACGAGGTGCTGAAGCGCGAGAACATCCGCGACTTTCTGTCGGAGCTGGAGCTCTCGCGTATCGTGGCGGCCATCGAGGTGTACGACCCCGGCTCTGAGGACCCGCGGGGCTCGGGCCGCCGCCCCGAGCTCCAGGACAACGGAGGCGCCGATGCCAGCGAGGAGGCCAGCGCGGCGGGCGGGCCCCCGGCCACGGCCGAGCCGCTGCCCTCGCTGGAGTACTGGCCCCAGAAGTCGGACCGCTCCATCCCGCAGCTGGACCTGGGCTGGCCTGACACCATCGCCTATCGAGGTGTGACCCGGGCCAGCGTCTACATGCAGCCGCCCATTGACGGGCAGCCGCACATTAAGGAGGTGGTGCGCAAGATGGTCAGCCAGGCTCAGAAGGTGAGGCGCCGTGGCGGGACCCCATTCACCCAACATGCGTGGGGACCCAGACGGCCGCGGGACCTCTGACCTCTTCGTTGCCTCCTTTTGCAGGCAGCAGCCAAATGCCCACCCCTTCTAGCAGGTGGCACCGGGCTTCCTGGGTCAAAGGGCTTCTGTGCCCTACTGGAGTGGTTCTGAGCGTCCCGAAGGCAACGCATGAGCTGTGTGGGAGGAATCTGAGCTTTCCTCACCCATTCTCTCTTGCCTTGCTGGCAAGAGGCTTGCACACACATACATGAGTTTGCTGACAGGAGTCAGGGGAGAGGCATGGAGGCTGGTCTGGAGCGCTGAGAAAATCTGCCTGCTTCCTAGCCGTGCTGAGTGGCTGGCAGTAGCTGCTAAGTTTCTCTAAGTCCTTTTCTGAGCGCTGCAGTGGCAGCTGCTGTCCAGGCCAGGGTGTCTGGATGAGCTGGGTGCCACCTGTTGAAGAGGTGAGGGTGTCTACTTGGGTTGTAGTTTGCCATTTAGAGGCTTCTCAGGCTTGTGTGGATCCTCTTATCTGGCACCCACTGGGCTGGCTGTACAGTGCCCTGGCCATGGGTGACTGCTCCACACTGACACACTGACCCACATCTTGAGAAACAGTGGACACTGCTTTCACAGACAGATGAACAATCCAACACTGGGTGGCTGTGGCTGTGAGTGGAGGTGTGCCTGATTTGACAGGGAGGGTAGCCCAACAAGCTGTGTTATGTCTGGAGCAGGTCCGGCCTCAGCTGGTAGTGAGAGCGTCTCTAGCTGGGTCTGACCGCTTCACTGTCCGGGTCCACAATGGGGCAGTCAGTGTACAAGGGCAGATGTTCATTGTGGGGACTGTCCTGGCTGACAGGGCCTGGGAGCTCTTGGGCAGAGACCAGAAGTGGGTCAGCAGCTGAGAGGTGGCTTGGCTCAGGTTTCCAGGGGAGTGGAGGAGGCTCTGTCCACAGCCACTAGCTGAGGGTTTCTAGTCTGTAGGTACAAACTGCATCTCTGGCCATTGTGATGATGGAGGATTGGGTGGCAGGAAATAGGAAGGACTGAATAATCCTCTGGGCACCTGACAATAGTTGGGAATCTGTTGCCCCAAAAGGGTCTGGGGTGACTCCCACTTGGGGCAGAGCCTAGTCCCTTGAGAGGAGGACTAAAGGCACTGGCTGGGGCCTTGCTGCTGTACCAGCGTTCTCACAGGAAGGAGGCAGCTTACACTTTCCAACTTGGCCTGGGAACAGCCACAGGCTCTAATCTTCTGCAGACAGAATGACATAGGGATAGTCCGTGATAGGGACAGATAGGGGTGCCTGGGGCCAAGTTGTACCCTTAGGGTTTCCTGTCCACATCCTTGGGACCATAGCTGAGATGTATCCATTCCCTGCAGGCCTATAGCTTCTTCATATGCACCCAGTCCCACTCTTCCAAGGTTACTGATGGCTCCTAAGGTGGCAGCCAGGAAGACACTGATCTCAGTGTGAGCCACATCTGTCTGTGTGGCACCATTGGGAGACTTCCTGTCACGGAGAGGCATAGCCCTCTGCTTCCTATACCTAGAGCCTGTTCCCCACAGCAAGGAGTCTCAGAGGGGCCTCAGAGCTGACAGAGGCCATGCCCATCTTCTAGAGATCAAGGTTTGTTCACACCCCCACTGTGCTGTCTTGGGCTAGGCCCCTCCCCTGTGGACCTGTGTGAGTTCCTGTTCCCCCATCTCCGTCTTGTGGCCCACACAATACGTGGGAAGGCTGTAATAATAGCTTCAGTGGGGTATGAGCACTTTATAATCTTAGGCAGTGTTTATCTGCCTCTTTTTTCACATGTAGAAATGGAGGCCAGACTCCTTAGTCGTCCTGCCCAAGGTCACTTAGCCCTGTTGCACTCCAGGACCTACCCTGGAAGTGTGGTACCTGGTAGCAGGGCAGTGACAAGCAGGACCTGGGAGGGGCAGTTGACCTAGGTGCCCTGAGTCTTCACCTTCTCATTGCTGCCTCCCAGCTTCCTGGGGCAGGCCCAGACGCCAATGGATGCTGACAGAGCGCTTTGCCCGCCTCCTCCTTGCTCCTCCCTGTAGGAGTTCTTCTGTCTTATTTCTCACCATGAGTCACCTCTTGCCCCTCTGGCCCACCTCCCCTTTTCACCTTTCACCTTGTGCCAATACTTGGGGAACCCCAGCCTCCTAGGGTTGGATGGGGTTTTGCTGATTAGCCCTTTTCCATGGGGGCTTCTGCAGCATGGCTGCAAGCACTGAGTCACTCTTCCAGCAGTCAGCACAACTGACAGACCCTAGGGCAAGGAAATGACACAGCACACACTCAGCTCACGCCACCTCAGTGTTCCTGTCAGGATAATTCTGCTGCATCCTCTCTTCCCTGAAGACTGTTATGATCTGACTAGGAAGACACAGGAGTGTGGGCGCAGGCCCTTGTGCTGCCTCCACTGTGGGATTGGACCAGCCCTGGCTTCACGCTAGGCTTTGGCCATTCTGTGTATGAAGTGGACACAGGCATTGAGGACTGTGGAGGGTCCCTTTGTTCCTGCCACCTGCTGCTTGGATGTGAGACTCAGCTACGACAGGGAACGGAACGGTGGGATCCCACACTTGGTTGTGTAGCCCTGAGATACCAGCTTATGTTCTCTGAGGCAGCCCCTGCCTGCCCTCTTCCTCTCCTCCCCCAGCCTTAGTCTGGGAGGAACCTTCCCTGGGCTTCAGCCGCATACCAGAGGCCTGTAGCATCACGCCTGGCCTGGGAGGGATGAGAGCAAGTGTGGCTTCCAGAGGGTGAGGCTGGGTGGGGCTGGGCCTCAGTCAGAGGATCTTCCAGTGCCTACCCTGACAAGGACTAACCCCTTACCAGCCCCAGGGGCATCGTGTGTCATACTTTCCACAAGTTACTGTGGAGGACACAGAAGGAAGCTGAGGTGTCAGGTGCTAGCCCTCAGCTAGGGCCAAATTTATGTCTTCCAGCCAGGGCTTATGAATGGAGACCCAGAAGTTGTGTTTCTCTCCCAGGGCCACCCAGAGGGAAGAAAGTGGACCAAATCTCATGATGCCCTATTGACATCCACATCTTCCTTGTTAGATCCCTGCCTTCACACTCTGGAGTCCTGACTGCTGCTTGGCTCCAGGAAAATAAAGGCAGCTTAATGAGGCATTTATTAAATACCAACTATATGCCAAGTGCTGAAAAGGCACTTTGCTTGCTCTGTGTAATCCTTGCTATAGCTCCATAAAGTAGGTGTTGCCTCTATTGTCCTCAGAAGAAATCCAAGGTTTGGTGGGGCTCAGAGAGGGTGAGCACCTTGCCCAAAGCCTCAGAACTGAGAACTGGAGGATCTGGGCTGCAGGCTCTGTACAACCACATTCCATAATGGGCCCATTAGGCCTTGCTCCCTGCCTCCTTAGCTTAGGGCAGTGAAAGCATGTTTGTAGGTTCCTGGGCTCCTAGACACTAGGCTGCCAGAGGTGAAGGAAAGCTGGCCATGCTGGGCCTAGAATGGGGAGCCAGAGTTATGTCCAGTCTCCCTAGGGAGCATATCCCTCAGCGCTGCAGGCCAGCACTGCAGGTTCGCTCAACCCTGGCCTGCATGCCGCCCACAGTATTGTAGCAGCATGAGTGCTGTGTAGTGCTGTTGCTGTCTGAGTTTGTGAGCATACCGACTCTGCAGACAACATCCAGCAGCGTGCGCCTCAGGATGTGTCCTTTTCATTCGGAGGCACATGACTGCACCAAAAGCCCCCAACAGAGGCTCCTGTGGGCCAGGAGCTGCTTTCTGCCTGCTGTGGCAGCTCCCGCCTTGGGCCAGGCCGCACCTGCTGGGGTGGGAGCCATCAGATAGCATAATCCCAGGTGTTGGCTCCAGACTTCTCCAGGCTCCCCACCCATGGCAAGCTCCTGCATCTTTTTTTTTTTCCTTTTTCTTTCTTTTTGGTTTTTCAAGACGGGGTTTCTCTGTGTAGCCTGGGCTGTCCTGGACTCACTTTGTTGGCCTTGAACTCACAGAGATCCACCTGTCTCCTGGAGTGCTGGGATTACAGGCATGTGCCACAGTGCCTGGCTGAGCTCCTGCATTTTAATGGAGAGCTGAGATGTGCCCCGTCCGGAAGGAGCCCTTCTGCTGTTCCAGGAGGGTGCCCTGCCACCTGCTTATATCACAGAAGAGACCAAAGCACAGAATGAGGTGGAGCTTTGGGTCTTTGGTGTGCTTGGGCCTGGTTCCATGGAGCTCATGGTCATGTTAGTTTGAAAGGTTACTCTGAAGCTGAAGGTCATCCTTTGGGTTGAGAGAGGCCCTAGACTGTCTGCCACTTGGCCACTATTAGGGTTCATAGCTGACAACCACTGAACAGGCCCACAGACAGGCTGGTGCCTTCCAGGGTACTCTCCATGTGGGGTGTGAGAAGGACGAGCTTCAGTCTCAGGCTGAGTCAGATCCAAGCCCAGTTCTGTTTTGTCTCTGGCAGCTCCCAAGAGCTCCTCACTTCTGTACTGGGCTGACCTCAGTAAGACTGATACCTGCTTGTCAAAGTCCAGATGAGATTTAAGTGACCATAAGTGAGCACGAGTCGTTCCTCAGCGTGTCATGTGGTCCCATGGTATGTGGTGCCAAGCTGCGTCCAGTAAATACCAGATCTCTTCCCTCACTCCCTCTATCTTCATATCCACCAAGAGCCACATAGGCCACTCTCTCACTGTCACCAACACCCTCCATGATTCTGCAACCCTGTTTTCAGCTTCGCTGAGCCCCTGGAAGGGACAGAAGGCTGGTCTTCCCGGTGTGCAGGGAGTCTCAGAACAGCACCCACATCCCTGAGCTCTGTTCAGGGCTTGTGGAGTGAGCAGCATGACTTCTTGTCTGTGACTTGCTGGCTGCAGCCATCCTCTAATTGGCTTTAATGAGGCTTCCTTCTAATAGGCAGGATGTTCCTAAGCAGCAGCTGGGTTTCAGGCTTGGCAAATGACCCTGTCTCCATCCCATCACAGCAAGTAGAGAAACTGAGTGCTGGAGTCAGTCGAAAAGTGACCCAGGAAGGCAAGGCAGGGCAGGGCAGGGCTGGACAGGCTGCGGCAGGTCTTTTTCAGGATAAGATGGGTCCTTGGAGATGGTAGCATGGAATCAGAGATAGGAAAGATGCATGGTCCTGCCATGGGAGAAGTGTACAGTCCTGGACTGTGACTACATCTCTGGGAAGTGTGACACTCTTTGGTTCCCTTTGTGTGAATGTTGGTGGCCTGCAGTTCTTTCTGTGGCTTGGATTAGACCCCTCCACCAAGAGGAGACTCCTTACCCCACTACGAGAACACAAGATAGGCAGGAGGCTCATCTTCCGTCTCCATTCTGTACTGTGACTGAGAGAGGGAAAAATCTGGGCCCCACCATGGAGTTGGCACAGCCTAGCCTCAGTTTCTTCACCTACACGGGGTGCTGCTGCAGTGCACAGCCTGCCAGCTCTGTGCCTCAGGCTTTATTTCATCTTCAGTTTTGAAAGGTCTCTACTTCTCGGTGGACAGTTTGTTTCCTCATAATGCTCAAAAGATGTTGCTCACCGTCTCCTCTCTCACTGACTCTGGTGGGATTGTCGGCTTGGCTCAGTTCTTCCATATGCAATGGTCTGTTTTCCTTCTGGCTATTCTTGTTTTTGTTTATTTGTTTGTGTTTTTTCCAGACAGGGTTTCTCTGTATAGCTTTGGCTGTCCTGGGCTCACTCTATAGACCAGGCCTAAAACTTATAGAGATCTGCCTGCCTCTGCCTCTCGGAGTGCTGGGATTACAGGCATGTGCCACCAGGCCCGACTTCTTTCTGGCTATTCTAAAGAGTCTAATTTGCTGATTTTGGGTGATTTGGTTCTATGTGCTTTGGCGGTTTTCCTCCTGTCTCTTCTGTGTTTGTCATTGAGTCTGTGGACTTCCATTCTTATGTGAAGAAGTAAAGTTTAGTGGCTATTTAGTCACCCATGTTTCTAATCCCTCTCACTCCATCCCCTGCAGTTAGCTGAGACTCCAGCTTCCCTCTGTCAGATTTCTTATAGATTACTATGGATGCTGATTGCTTCCTGTGTTTCTTCAGTCTCTTTCTCTCCGTGTGACATTTAGATACTTGTTGCTGCCGTGTCTTCAACTTTACTACTCTTCTATGATATCTAACTGACTATTAATGCCAACCCAGAACAGATTTTCATTTAATGATTTTTTTTTTCTTTTTCCATACCTTTCTTTCTTTATTTTGGTAGGGTCTCTCTGCATAGCCCTGGCTGTCCTGGAACTCACTCTGTAGACCAGGCTGTCCTTGAACTCACAGAGATCCTCTTGCCTCTGCCTCCTTCGATTAAAGGTGTGAGCCACTTGGCCCTGCCTCGTCAGTGAGTCTTATTTTCCCATTTCTTTTTCTGTATAGTAATTCTCTACTGAGTACCAGAAACAATGGATTTTGTGCTATAGGCTGCTGGTGTATGTTTGTTCTTTTAAGTATTTTAGAGCTTTGTTGTAGAATGCAGTAAAGTTTCTTGGAAACAAACACTTTTGGGGAGTTGGGTGTAGGCTGTGGATGGAACCCAGGTTCTCAGCATGCCAGACAAGCCTGGTCACTGCTATACCAGGCCCCGGCTGAACACTGTGAAGTCTTGCTCTTAACTCTTAACTGTAGGATAGGAGCGGCCCACTGTTCACACCAAGCCCACAGCTGCTTCACCACTTCTGGAATACAGATGCTTTCCTTGCCATCTGTGTCACTTGTCTGCCACTGACAGACACGACCATTTGTAAGAGGGAGTCTAGGCTGTTTACATTGTGGCCCTTTGCAGAGGTAAGCCTAAAATTGGTTCAGGACTTCTTTGTCCACTACCTAGGCAGTGTCCTCTTACAGACTATTCCCCAGACCTCATGTGTCAGAATGTCTTCTGCTCTAGCTAGGAAGACAGGAGCCTTCCATGGTCCTGTCTGAGGACCATCTATTGCTTTAGCTGCCCCTTTGGGGACTTCTTCCAGCCTTGGATGTTTCCTCCCATGAGTGAGCTCCCTAGATGCCAGCAGATTGCTTGAGGGTCTCTGAAAGCTCTCCAGAGATGGGCAGAATAAGCACATGGCCTTGGAGACGGTCTGCAGGGGACACTCAAGGCAGGATGTTTTGGGGAAAGGAACCAGTGGTGTCAGGATTCTCAGGAGAGGTGTGTCACAGGCTGGTCTAGTACCCCAATAGTATGTTCAGACCAGCTGGTTGCTCACCTGCCCCTCCTCTCTGGCATTTGTGGGGAAACCTGTCCATCTACTGTCCCACAAAGATGCTTTACTCTAAGTGAAGTTGAGAGACACAAGAGGCCTAGAAGAAGCTGATGTGGGTGTTGGGAGCCCTGGGCTGGTGTCAGCACCTGGCAAGGCTGGAGCCTATCAGTCTCTTTGAGGAACAGCTACTAAACTGTCTTTCACAGACTCTGTTGACATGGCAGGATGCTCCAGCCAGCTCACATAGGCTCCACTAGGCTGTGAGCAGTGCTCTAGGGTACATAAAGGCAGGCGTTTCAGCAAGGACATCAGAAGGGACAGGCTTCGATAGCTTATCCTCCACCCCATTTCATAGATGTGGAAACTGAGGGGCGTAAGATGGAGGTGGCTAGTACCAGGCCTTGAACGCTACAGTAGCTCCAGGGGCACACTATATGTATCCCTGAGTATTGCCCAGTCAGAACACCCTTGATGAGCACACAGTGTCACAGTGGAGGTAGGACATCCAATAGGTAATCAGACGGTTGTGAGGCACGGGGCTTCGGGGTCCTCTCTTGTGAGAAGGGGGGGAATCTGCTAGTTGCAGCATTTGTGAGTATCTAGAGGAAATGTTAGGAGCATGACAGACATCCTAGGCTGGGAGGAGCGTGAAAGGCAGGCACCGGCTTACTTCAGCCTCTGTCACAGACTGCTTCCACAGTTCCCATCTACAACTATAACTTAACATGTACCAAGAGCTCTCAAGGAACCTTTGTGGCCTGACCATGGACAGACAGGCCAAGATGTGAGGCTGTGTAGTGGCGGGAAGCCTTCCCCCAGCACTACCTCACACACCAGAGCACCATGAGCACGTTTATTTCCAACATCATCTTGGACTCTGGGAGCTCTAGGCAGCCTTCCCTTTCAGCGTCACCTCATATCCCAGGAGCACTAGGTAGTCCTCCCTTCCAGCATCAGCTCAGATCCCAGGCGCACGAGGCAGCCCTTCCTTATCAGTATTAGTGATAGCTGTGTAGTCTTCCTTTTACCTGCCTAGGCGATAGGGGTAGAATCCAACACCTCAAGAGAGCTAGAGTCAGCCATGGGACCATGTCAGGGATCTACCTTGGGGCATAGGTCTCAACAAGTCCATCTTGGCAGCCTGTGATTTCTGGATTGGGTCCCCTGTCCTGCTGGAGCACATCTCAGTCTGCCATGGTGCCCACAGCTTGGAACCAGCCGTGACAGATCCGGGGTGCAACGTGCTGGAAAACCTCCAGGGAGCAGTATGCCAGCCAGGTCAGGCCTCTTTCACAGCAGTCCGTGAAGCTGTTCGCCTGCTCAGGAGTGGCCTAACCAAGCGGACATTGGGTAAGAGTGGCTTCCAATCTGTGAGCTCCCAGGCGAGACCTCTGGAGCAGCCACCCCTGGCACACACACTGCCACCCAGAGGCTCAGTGTCTTCTGTTGCCTCCTTGATTCCCCAGTAATCTGTCTTTGGCTGAGCCTATGCTAGGTGGGAAGTTCTTGGGTCCTCCCCCATCTCACCTCACCTACCCCACTCTGCAATGCAAAGTGCTTCCTCTTCCAGTGCTGACACTGTCCTCTAGCTTAACCCTGCCAGTATCAGCCTCGTGCCCACTCGCCACCAGACAACCCCTGAGGGATGATGAGTAGTTGTCCTCTGAAGACTCAGAGATGCCTAGGGCACAGCCTCCTTTCTCTCTTCATTCTGAGCAGATTAGCACCATCAGGCCCTGATGACCAAGGATTAAAGGAGGGCCAGACAAGGGCCCACACTGCTGGGCGTGGGGAGTATTGACTCTGTTTCAACTTTCCTCATGACTTCACCAGCCTCAGTTTGCCCAGCTGTGTGCTGGGATTTCACCTAGCTGCTTGTGGAGTGGGGTGTCAGAGGCGAGGCTGCCTGGGACCCCCATCCCTGGGGACCCCCTTGGGTTGGGGTCCTTGATATACATTGCCCTGAGTGTGCTTGCTTCTCATGAATAGAGCCTATTTTGCTGATGAGAAAACAAGAGCCCAGAGTTACTTAAGGGTTTAACTTAGGGTCACACAGCAAATCTGCTGCAGGGCATGTCTAGAGCCTCCTCCTCTTGCTTAGGAGCTTGGACTTTTGTGCCAGATTTGCAGGAGGCATAAGCAGGAGCCAGAGGCTCAGGAGGAGCCCAAATGGGCCTGTAGGGGCTTAGCCTGGTGAGCTCACTGTGAGTGTGCAGACCTGTCCCCAGCAGGCTCCAGGTGGCCTCATGTTACCCTGTGTGTACAGATCTCACTGAAGGAAGATGCTAAGCTACACTTAGGAGCTCAGCCCCTGATGGGCCTGGGTGGATTCCAGCCCTACTGTCACAGTGCTCCAGGGACTTGTGGGACCACTCTCAATAAAGCTCCTTAGGCACTGTTAGCCAGTGTGAGGGAAGGGACGGTAGGGAGCTGGCATCTGAATTCAAACATCCCTGGTCTGTGACTGTATTCTGTGTGTGTGTGGGGGGGGGGCAGGTTCTCACTGTGAGTGCTACACCAGTCCTCTGGTTGGCAGGGAACTGAGGCAATTGGTTGCTTGGGCGGACTAGGTGTGGACAGATGTACTTTGACCCCTGGAGCCTCACCCTTGGGCTCAGGAGAGTGGAAGTCACTTGTGATGGGCATAGGTGTTGGCAAGAGACAAGAAGAGCACATGCTGATGTGGGTGCTGTTGGGTCCATATGGGTGTCCTGCTGAAGTCCACAACAGCCCAGCACTCAAGGAAGGTCCCAAGTTGGTGGCCATGTCATCTGCTGGCCTCTTCCCCACTGTGGCCACATTTGGTTTGCCTCAGCATCTTCAGGAGTCAGAAAGGGGCATGTGTCTTGAATTTGATTCAGGAGGGCATCAGTGGCAGCTTCCTGGGGCTGAGTCCCTGGCTGTGCTCACTGGACCTTCCTGGTGGCAGCACCAGTCAGTGAATCCTAACCGGGTTGAGGAAGGAGGCCCCAAGGACCAGCTGTACACATGGACCTGTGACAGACCTTACCCCTGATCATGGTTCACCAACCTTCTGCACCCTCCTGGCATGTCTGCATTCCTCCCTGCACCTTCCACCGTGAGGACTGCTGGAACTAGGGTTTTCACAGGCTTTTGTGTCTTGGGAACCGCAGGGGTGCTGCTCTCCTTGCTGTGCTTGTAAACCACCAGTGTCTTCCTGTTCTCAGGTGATAGCTGTGGTCATGGACATGTTCACTGACGTGGACATCTTCAAGGACCTGCTGGATGCTGGCTTCAGGAGGAAGGTGGCTGTGTACATCATTGTGGACGAGAGTAATGTCAAGTACTTCTTGCACATGTGCGAGCGGGCCCGAATGCACCTGGGGCACCTCAAGGTGAGCTGTCTTCCTTTGCTTGGGGAGCTGGAGGGCAGGAGTCATTCAGCCAGTCAACAAACATTACCTCGTAGACAGTGCCTTATACCAAACAAGAGTTCAGTCATCCTGGAGCTTTCTGCCAGGTGGTCACACAACTTGAATGCCCTGAGGGATAAGATATTTACTACCTCCAACAGGCAGATAAGATAAACACAGATCTCATGCCTTCAACCAGGTGCCAGAGTGCCTGCCAGGTACTGTGTTACCCATGCCTCATAGTTTCCTGTCTGTCTGCATACCTCTGGTACAGGTGTGTGCTCACTGCATCCACAGGCAGCTCAAACCTCACCTGGGGAGCTCTGACCCCCAAGAAGTCCTTCACTGGGCTAAGCCCCAGTTTGCCGTCAGTTCCACAGGCTGGCAGTAGGATCTGGCTCAGACACAGGAAGCACCCTTATGCCAAGGCCAGGGTTGAAGTGGACTTGAGATGCCTGAGCTGTTGTAGGATAAATCCTTGTGGGCAAGGAGGCACATTGGAATGGAGTTGGATAAGAGAAAGCCAATGCCTGGATCTTCAGCTTCCCATTGCTCTGTCTGAGATCTTGTTGCCTGCTGCTCTGGGCTCCAGGATTTCACTGGTCTGATAGGTAGATAAATCAGTATGGCTAAACTCTTCCGCTAAGACCCCTAGCATTTGGCGGCTTTCTCAGTACAGCACTTTTTTTTTAAGTACAGCACTTACATACACCCGAGTATAGAGAAGTCTGCAGAAGCAGCTGGTGCTTTCACAGCATGCGACTGCTCAACACACTTTCCATGGTTTAACTTACTTAAACCCCTGACAATTGGATGAGTCTGTCATTCCCATTTTGCAGATGAAGCAGTAGAAGCAGGTGCCAAGTGTCACTGCCAATAAACTAGAAATGAGGGCCAAGTGCCCCAGGTTGGAACACAGATTCCAGATGGTCATCACACAGGGCTGGTGACAGTGGCCGGGCTTGGAACCTGTAATTTGTCAGCATTCGTCAAGGCCCCTTGTCTGGAGCCTTTTAAGTGGGTGTGAGTTCTCTGCTGTGCTACCAGTCTCTAATTTTCAGGGACTTCTTCATGTGGTCTCCAGGTAGGGTGACCCCAAGCCTCACACCTGCCTGCCATGTAATTAGCTCCTGGAAATGGTTCTGGGGTGGCAGACAGCTCATGCCAGAAAGAGCCATTGCATAGAAGTTCAGAAAAGGTGACTTGGGACTTGCCTGCCCTGGGGGCCAGCAGCAGCTCCAGGAGCTCCAGGAGAGTCCCCACTCCATGCATTTGACACACACTGGTGAGGCTTAACATGTATGCCACTCTACCCATCACCCTCATAGGAAAGGCAGACAAGAGCCGGGGCCTGTCGATACTCGGGCCCCTCACCCAGGCTAGCTGCTTGGAGAAGCTGGCCCCACAGTGTCTGAGGGCCTGTCTCAGTAGAGAATTCTTGGTGGCTGCACAGTCTGGGGTTTTCTGAATTTCAGGACTTGAGAAGCAGTGGAACTTGGCCCTGTTTGTGGCTCTCTGCCTGTGGCTTTATGGGGGTGTCTGAGCCAAGACACCTGTTCAGACTAGAGTTACAAATAGTTGTGAGCCACCATGTGACCATGTGGATGCTGGGAATTGAACCTGGGTCCTCTGGAAGAGCAGTCAGTACTCTTAACCACTGAGCTATCTCTCCAGCCCCTGTTAGAGCTATTGTGCAGAGCACAGGAGACTGTGGTGGGCATGCTTGAGACAGAGGTTCCTTTGGCCCTGTGTGGTTAGGGATAATGCTCTTAACATGCCCCAGCTTTGTTCTGAGTGCCAAGTTAGTAGTCTGGTAGAAGGCATCCTCTCCTGCCAGCAGTTATGTTAGGCTTAGGGCTGACCCTGTTCCTAGTCCCCACATAAAGGAATTAATGTACACAGCCTCTTCTAATGTGTGGGCCTCAGCTGCTTCAGGGACCACAGTCTGCTGGCCCCAAAAGCAGTAAGGAAAAGAATCCCCAACATTACAAATGAGCAATGAAAAGAGTACCATGGGCCTTGAAAAGGCCTTATCCCTTTGACCTTATCCCTTCCCAGGCAGTGACTAGGTCATATATGGGGTGACCCTAGTGCTGAGAAGTACCCATGAACCAGTGGGAGCCAGGCCAGAGCTGTGAAAAACCCATCAGTGCGAAAAGCTCCTTGGCCTGTTCAGGCAAACTGGAAAAACCAGCAGCCACTTGAGCTCACTACATAGCTGACAAGCAAGAAAATACTAACCACTGACAGCCGTGGGAAGGCACATGGTGAGGATGCTTGGCTGGGCCAGCTCTCCAGTCTCCACTGGGCCAAAGAAGGGGAGGAGAGGCTCAAAGCTGTGTCCTGCCATGCTTCAGCTGGGATTGTTGGGAGGTTGGGGGGTGGAGGTGGGCTAGGCACCAGCCCCTATCTTTTCCTAAGTAAGCTCATGCCCTTCCTTCTATGGTTAGGCCTGGGCCACTGATAGGTAAGGATATATGCCAAGGACTTGTATCTGAGGGCAGAGGGGCTCACCACAGTGTCACAGTGGAGGTAGGACATCCAACAGGTAATCAGACGGTTGTGAGGCACGGGGCTTCGGGGTCCTCTCTTGTGAGAAGGGGGGGAATCTGCTCACCTCACTGCACTGGTCATGAGTCAGGGTACTATTGGCATCAAGTAGGTAAGGCAGGGCTGTTATTAAGCATCACAGTGTCTATACAGCCGGACGGTGACCTAGCCCATCACGTCAGTCATCCTAGGGGAAGGGCTAGGAGTAATAACACCACAGCCTGGAACATGTGCACATGTGCCTAAGTCCCAGCTCACAAGGGCCTGACTTCCCACCGAATATCATGTCTGTCTTTGAGTCAGGGTCAGAGGTGCTGGGTGAGCTACAGTTCTGCCTCCTACCCCAGCTCATCTCCTTGCACTTCCTGTGATCCAGGCATGGCTGACTGATGCCTTCACCCCTGCCGAGGTGAGCAGTGTGATCTGCTACATCCTGTTGAAAGACTAAGACTCATCACCTCTCTTGCTAAGTCCTCCAGGCTGGCCACAAGTGTGGCTGACAGTTATGCTTTCCCTGGACAGTCCAGCCTATCCCAGATGTGCTGCAAGTTTGTATCCCAGTGTGTCCCCAGTGAGAACTCAATCCCTTCTACAGCTCCCTGCAGGCCACTCAGCCCTCAAGCTGCAGCTAAGGGAGTCACATAGTCCAGAGTTCCAGAACGCCTAGGCTGGCTTGATGGAGACCAGCACAGTGTACCCCAGCCCTGTGTCTTCCACAAGCACTTTGGGCCAGAGCAGCCTGACTCACCTCCACTTCCTGTCCTGCCCCACCCAACTCCACTGTGCCTCATGGAGGTCTAAAAGAGTCTAAGGACCCTCCACCCGCCTGCCCATCCCCAACTAGGGGCACCCCAGGACCTGAGACAATGCAGCTTTGTGGGATCCTCCACCTCTGCTCACGCGAGCCCAGACACCTGAGACATTACCTCATCTGGGCCAGGCCCATTGGGTGAGGCTACCAGGAACAGGAGGCAGAGGGTGGGGGGCCTGATGCAAGCCCCTGCCTGCTGCCCAGCCCTAGTGGTAGATGAGCCGATGGGTTCGGTGCCAATCCCCACTATGTAGAAAGGGAAACTACAGCCTAGAAAGGGCTTGTTTCACATCACACAGTAGGTCAGTGGCATAACACAGGCCTGCCTCTCACAAGGGTGAGTTGCTCCAAGATGAAGGTAATGGCTTTCCGAGCCCTTCAGAAAGACAAAGCTCGGGGTGAGTAGAGACAAACACCAGCAAAAGAAGTGTGCAGGCTGGTTGCCTAGGTGAGACACATGGCCCCAGCACACAGAGTGTTGGATGGTGAGACCACAGGATGCCACAGGTCTGGGCTGTGGTTGGCACAGGTGACAGGGAAGGCTTCTAAGCTCTTTGTTCCAACCTCTGGTCCCTGAGCATGCAGTGTGTTAGGTACAAAGTCACGAGTGCTAATTGTCCTGGACCCTGGCCAGCTTCCTGCTGAGTTGGCTGTCGGCAGGCGGGGCCAGGTGAGCTTGTCCCTGGAAACAGCTTATCTGCCTTCTAGGCCGGGCCTGACAACAAGACAATTGTTCACCCCACAGTTGGGTGGACATCATGTTGGGACCCACCCAGGGGCCACCCCTGCAGCTTCTGTGGATAGTACCCTGGGCCACCAGGGGAGTATGAGAAATAGGGAGACTACAGTGGGTGGCACTCACTCAGGCCACCTCCCTTATAGTCACAGACTTCCCTGTTCTCTGCCTCCTGTGTACCCATTCATTCGTACATCCTCCCCACATGCCACCTAGCACTGCTTTGGACATACAGGTCTAGCTTGTACTCTCTCTAACCCTCCATGGCTCCCCCTGCCCACGGTCGAAGTCACGTCCAGCTGCGCAGGCAGCCTGCTCTTCCACTGCCCAGCCTCTGCATCGTTCCCTTGGGGTGCTTGCTCTCCTACACCAGCCTTTCCTGGGAACCTCCCAGCCCCTACCTTCATTCACTCCTCTGCTTCTGACCATTCCAAGTTGTTGTTTTGACTCATCTGCCTCACTGCCACCTCCACAGTAGCATCCTTGTTCACTGTCATCTTTGTCTGCCACTGAGGGCTGCAGCAGGGGTCAGTGAACAAATGAACATGTGGGCAGTCAATAAACCGGGACCGTTGAGTGGGTGAGGGAACAGATAGGCAAGTCACAGCTCAGTCTGACAAATACTGTGTCACCAACCAGTATCTGAATCCGAGGCTCTGACAAGAATGAGATTCCCACCAGACTCCCATCAGAGGAGGCACTGAGTGGAGCAGCCAGGAAGTCCTGCTGAGAAAGCCAGATGGACCCTTGGTGCCTACATGTTCTGCTTTGGGAGCCTCCGCAGTCCCTTATGCCTAGATTTCAGTCAGGTTTTCCTTGCCTCCTGGGTCACTTGTATTCAGCATTGGGTCCTGTAGCACCCAGGCCCTGGATGGCTCTGGAGGTGCTGCGCTGACGAGAAAGGCCCTTTATATATTTAGGACCAAGGGAAGGCCAGCAGTTTATGGCTCTACTTTCTCTTTGGCCAGGACACTTTCCTTTCTGGGCCTCTGTGAGCTCTTGTGGGCTCTGAGTGCCTTCCCCAGCTGGCTCTAAGCCAGGCCATGTGGTAGGGACTGAGGTTGACTCTTTATGAGACCATTCCTGGAGCCAGACTGTGTCCCATCTCCAGAAAAAGAGTTTTCCCTAAGTGCCTTCAAAGGAGCGTGCTCAGCAGGGTCAGTGACATGGGAGAGGCCTGTGGGCAGTCTTCCTGGAAGACCCTGGATGTGAGAGTGTAAGGCCCAGGTTCCGTTCCCCATCGCCTGGCCTCACAGTCCAGATACACTACCCTTCTCCACTTACACCTCACTCCCTACAAACGGTCTCCAGGCTCTGGGCAGTCTGCTGCCCCTGCCTGTGAAATCAATGCCTGTAGTTGTCTAATTCTGCCTCCCTGTCTCCCGACACAGAATCTCAGGGTACGCAGCAGCGGGGGAACCGAGTTCTTCACACGGTCAGCCACCAAGTTCAAGGGTGTCCTGGCCCAGAAGTTCATGTTTGTGGATGGAGATCGGGCTGTGTGTGGCTCCTACAGGTGATTCTCCTCTGGGACTTGGGGAGGAGCTGCCTCTGGTTCCCAGCCCGTTTCTGCCCTTAATCCCTGCATGTGACACGCTGGTTATTCCAGTTCATTGCTCCCAAAACTGCTGAGCTATGTGCAGGTCTGAGTCCACCCACTGTCTCTGGAGGCAGGCAGGGAAGACTTTTGTCCAAGCAGGCTGTTGTTCTATCCCACACAGTCACTGGCCCAGGGCTAGGGTGGGCTAGGTCCTAGTGAATTTGCTCAAGACCTTTGGGAAGTCACTGTAAGAGCCATTTCCAAGGCCAGAGCTAGCCCTGCACTGTCACAAGGCAGGGTAGATTTGCCAGTCACTCCGATCACAGCAAAAATATCAGTGACAGTGCTGGGTGGTTCTTGGTACCTGAGGCTGCAGTGGGCATCATCATGCTGTCTTCATGAGTCCAGTAGAGCCCCAGGGCTTGCTGGAGAAGAGCCAGACATAGACTCCCAGACTCAGGTTTGACCCCCCTAGATGCACCCCATCCCAGTGCCACCTATGTTTTTATCCTAGGGCCCAGTGGCCAGTCTGATAAACCCCAGCTGGAGTACGTATGCACTGTAGATGTCCACTGCCTCTGGGGCCAGGGACACTCCATAGGTCAAGGAGGCACACGTGCCCTGTGCTGACCTCCTGTCTTGCTGTTGTGTTGCAGCTTCACGTGGTCGGCTGCAAGGACGGACCGGAATGTGATCTCTGTGCTGTCTGGGCAGGTGGTCGAGATGTTTGACCGGCAGTTCCAGGAGCTGTACCTCATGTCCCAGAGCGTCAGCCTCAAGGACATCCCCATGGACAAGGAGCCAGAACCGGAGCCCATTGTGTTGCCGTCTGTGGTGCCCCTAGTACCCACAGGCACCATGGCCAAGAAGCTTGTCAACCCCAAGTATGCACTGGTTAAGGCCAAGAGTGTGGACGAGATTGCCAAGACTTCCTCTGAGCAGGAGGTTGCCAAGCCTGCGGGGCTGCGGGGCCCTGCAGTGGCTGAACGCCCAGGGGACCTCTCTGAGCTGCTCCCACCTGTCCACCCGGGGCTGCTCAACCTGGAGAGGGCTAACATGTTTGAGTACTTGCCCACGTGGGTGGAGCCAGATCCAGAGCCTGGCAGTGACATCCTGGGCTACATCAACATCATCGACCCCAACATCTGGAACCCTCAGCCCAACCAGATGAACCGCATCAAGATCCGTGACACAGCTCACGCCAGCACCCAGCACCAGCTGTGGAAGCAGAGTCAGGGGCTGCGTCCGTGCCCAGAATCCTGCCCTCCCCCAGCACCCAGGGACACCCAGGGTGTGGTCCCAGCTGAAAATGGCTTCCCCCAGGGGAACCCCGAACCACAGGCCCCTGTACCTAAGCCCCGGACAGTCCCTGTGGCAAGTGTACTTGCTCAGGATGGTAGCACTATTGGTTGTGCTTTGGATACCCCAGAAAAGGAGACACCCCCAAACGGGATGGACCCCAGACTATCCAGCACAACCAGCCAAAGCCAGGCCCCACTACAGCGACAGTTATCTGTGACCCAGGATGACCCCGATGGCCTGGAGACAGGACTCCCCAATGGGCTCGATGGGGAAGAGGATGATGACGATGACTACGTGACCCTCAGTGACCAGGACAGCCTCTCAGGCAGCTCTGGCCCTGGCCCCCGGCGACCCTCAGTGGCCTCATCCATGTCAGATGAGTACTTTGAAGTGAGGGAGCGGTCAGTACCTCTCCAGAGGCGCCACTCAGAGCAGATGGCCAATGGACCAGGCCACCCACCTCAACGGCAGCTGAGTGCCCCTCATGTAACCCGAGGAACCTTTGGTGGTCCCCTGAGTGGCCCCCTGTGGGCCCAGGGTTCAGGCAGAGAAGATATAGATGCATCAAGGATGCAAGCACAACGCCCTGTGGACAGGCAGGCTCAGGTAGGTCTGGTCCCTCATCCCTAGGTGTTCTGCAATCACCCCAAGAACCCCAAATGCCCATGTCCTGCGCCATTGTGTCCCTGGCTCAGGGAAGCCCCTTGTTTCAGACAGAGATGAAACAAGATGGGAGACAAATGGGAAAGAGGAGAACCATCATGGGCCATGTGGTTGGCTATTAGTAGGTTGTGGACTCTCAGTGCTAGAGTCTCAAAAAACAAAACTTAAAAAGCACACATTTCCACATTCCCCTAACTCCCATGCACCCAGAGTTACAGGGTCCGATACATCCTACCAGGTGGAAGGTACAGACCCTAGTTTGTAGACAAGGTGTAGTGGGTGGTCACGGAGATGTTCCTTTGCGCTCACAGGGTCACGCAGTTATAAGCTCTCCTTGTCTGGACCTTATGCGGGACCACCTCCCTGTAGATTCCTTTGTGTTTGTAAGGACAGTTCCTCCCTCTTCCATGTTGGGCAACAGCTGATCCCTCCTTTGTCACCTAGTAGCTTCTGTAGACTAAATCCTTAGAGCCCCGGGTGCCCTGCTGCTGCCACTGCTGCAGGTGTGGACCCAGAGCCCATCCTACCTGGGAACAGTGCTCGGCTGATCATGCCTGGCATGATCATCAGGCCCATGGGCAGCATCTTCAGGTAGCTGGCTAGAATGGAGCCCGCCTTGGCATGGTTCAGGTTCCGGGCAGACAGGGACCGCTGCACAATGACCTGGGATACAGAGGGAAAGAAGAGGCTGAGCCTTGGGGATACCCATCTCAGCATCTCCACAGTGGGCCTCATGAGGTGACACAGGTAGATGCAGTGTTATCCCTACACTCACCTGAGATGACCAGACAGTGCCAGCGTAGCTGATGCCCACCAGTGTACTCACCCCTTCTGCTGTACTTTTCCCAGGGAAGCATGGGTTCCGTGATGTTTGTCAGAGCCAGAGGGGCCTGGGTATGTTGGATTCACACACACACACACACACACACACACACACACACACACACACACAC